CAGGGTGCCCTTGGGCTGGGCGTGGCAGGTGCGGCAGGGAGCGAGACAGGCTCTGCTTGGTCGCAACGGGCGAGGTCGGCGGCTCGTCGGCATCGGCGCCGGCAGCGCCGTCACCCGCCTTGAAGCCGTCCGAGTCGAGGAACTGGGCGCGGGACCCGCTGAAGGCGACGCGGCCGTTGGCGAGCTGGACCTGCAAGAGAGAAAGAGGCGAGGGGTTAGGAGGGGAGGAGGTTGAGAGACGGTCGGAGAGAGAGGACGCACGACATGGGCTGCTCCCGGGGCGGTGAGGGCGACGTGGTGAGAGACGAGGATGACGGTGCGGTTCTTGAGGAGCGGGCCCTTGAGGCAGTTCTCGTACTGCGCCTCGTCGACAGGGTCAGTAGGCGTTCGCGGCGACGACCAAGAGGGCAGGGACGCACGATGTGCGCCGCAGTGTGTGCGTCGACGGCCGACAGGACGTCGTCGAGGAGGAGGACCGACGCTCGGCTGTACACCGCGCGAGCGAGCGAGACTCGCGCCTTCTGGCCGCTGCGGGGGGGGGGTTCGAGAGGAGGGTTAGCCGCCGGCACGTGAACGGCGCAGGCAAGAGGAAAGGGAAGACGCACCCCGACAGGTTGATGCCCTGCGAGCGAGGATGGAGAAGTCAGTCGGGCTCGTCCGCCACGAGAGGAGGAGAAGGAGGGGGCGCACCTTCTCGCCAATCTCGGTCGAGTCGCCGTCCTCGAGGATCTCCAGGTCGCTCACGAGGCTACACGCCTCAAGCGTGGCGCGGTACCGCTCCTCGCGGAACGGCAGGCCAAAGATGACGTTGTCGCGGACCGAGGCGTTCTGGAGCCACGCCTGCTGCGGGACGAACGCGACGTGCGCCGGCGAGACCCAGTTGTCGTCCGTCAGGTAGGCGTCCCACGCGATCGACGGGAGCGCGATGGCGCCGGGCGACGAGCGCGGGCACGAGACCGAGCCCGACAGGACATCGACCTCGCCGAGGAGCGCTGTGTGCGAGACAGGGTCAGGGACTCTGTGCGGGCGACGAGGCCGAGGATATGAGAAGAGGACTATAGAGACGCACAAAGAAGCATGAGGGTCTTGCCGCTGCCGAGACGACCGCAGATGAGGCTCAGGTCGCCGACCGGGAACTCGACCTCGACGTCCTGGAGCTCGAACGGCTTGGTCTCGGGCTCGTCGGCGTCGGCGTCACGACGGTCTTGCGGAAACGTGATGGTCGCCTTGTCGAACGCGATGCGGTGCGCCGACTGGGCCTCGTGCTGCTGCGCCTCGGCGTCGGCGACGGCGGTCGCGTCCTCGAGGGCGGCGGCGAGCTCGACCTCGGGCGTGTCGAGGTAGGCGTCGATGCGGCGCAGTGACACGAGGCACTGGAACAGGGACACGATGACGTCCGGGATGACGTTGAGCGCAAACTGCGAGAAAAGGCGAGAGGGAGGGAGGGAGGGAGGGTCAGTGCTCGTCTCGCCTCGACCCGCACGAGAGAGAGAGAGTGAGAGGCGAGGACGCACTCGAAGCTCGTTCCAGACACTGAGCGCAGTGAAGGCGATGCTCGGCGTGAGCTCGCGACCCATGAGGAGCGGGCTCGTGAACGCCCAGAAGCTGACGAGGACACACTGCGGCGCGAGGTCGAGGGTCAGTACCGGCCGCAGGAAGAGAGAAAGAGACGAGGCTGGGACGCACAAGGATAGGCGAGATGCTGTAGATGCCCTGGAACGCGATCTCGAGGAAGAAGTTGCGCCTCAGCTCGCGGATCTCGTCGCCGCGCGCCTTGAGGATGCGCTCCTCGAACGGGCGCTCAAACGCCATGAACTTGACGAAGCGGATGCTGCCGAGGACCTCGTTGACGAGGCTGACGCGGCGGTCGCGCGTGCTCATGAGGCGCTCCTGCGTCGTTGTGAACGCCTTGGACGCGTAGTGGTTCAGGGGGAGGAACAGGATGGCGACGCTGATGCCGATGAGCGACGCGTAACCGATGAGCGAGTACAGGAAGACTGTGCGCCGAGGGAGGGGAGGTACGTCAGGTCCGGGACCTCCTGAGCTGGACGAGAGAGGGGAGCTCGGGCGCACCGGTGCCGAGTAGAATCTCGATTGGCGCATCGGCGAAGGTGAAGGACCAGATCGAAAAGTCGGCGACGCTGCGGGAGCGGCCGACAGTCAGGTGTGCGGCCAAAAGAGAGAAGAGGGCCGCTTGAGAAGGTCGAGGACGAGGACGCACCGCTCCGAGTCGATGGCGAACAGGTTGGTGAGCGACGACTTGGTGCTGAACTTGGTGTCGGCCTCGTCCGACTCGTCGCGGTCGCCGTCGCCGCTGTCGCTCGACCCGCTCGCACGAGACGAGGGCGCGGCCGACGATGCGCCGGTCGGCTTGCCCGACGCGTTGCCAACGTTGGCGACGTCCTTGCGCTTGAGGGTCTTGTCGAAGATGAGCGTGTTGAGCTGAACGCGGATGCGGGTCGACAGGAGCGAGTTGCTGACTGTCGGCGCGCGAGCGAATTCGGGTGGGGCAGGGCGAGGAAGAGGAGGAGAGGGTTGGAGAGGTCAGTCAGGGGTACACAGGCTACGTCGGGCTGAGAGGCCGAGGGGAGGACGGGACGCACCGAACCAGAGCTGGCCCGAGACGAGGCTCTCGACGACGATGCCGGCAAAGAGGCCGATGACGTAGACGTACGCCCACTGGAGCGTCTGCGCCTCGTCGGTGCCGCGCGCCTCGAGGAACCCGACGAGGCGTTGGAGGAACGCGGCGGGGACGTAGTACAGGAGGGCGTTGAGGACCGAGAGGGCGACCTGCCACGCGAACAGGCGGCGGTTGACGACGACGAGGCGGTACAAGAGGCGGTTCCACCGATTTGGGGCGCGGGCCATGAGGCCGTCGGTGACGCGGAAGCGCTCCCACAGGTTGTGGGCGCGGTCGGCGGCGGGCAGGGCCGGGAGCGACTTGTCGTCGATCGAGTCGCTCGAGTAGCACGCGTGGAGGACGGGCGTGACCCACGTGAACAGGAGGTACCCGAACGGCGAGCACGACGCGAGGGTGACGACGGGCTGGTGCGTCTTTGGGTGGACGAGGGGCGCACAGCGCGGGGTGGTGCCGGTGAGGAGGAAGGCGACGAGGGTGAGGATCGAGGTGGTGAGGACGAGGGCGAGCTGGGCCGTGTAGACGTGGTCGGGGGCGGCGTTGGTCGACAGGGTTGTTGCTCGAGTGAACACGAGGTCTGTGTACGGGTCGACCGGGGCGAGGTTGCGCGGCGGGAGGAAGGACCACCCGGTGGTGCGCGGGAGGACGAGGCGGAGGAGGGTGAGGAAGAAGGCCGAGGCCGTGAGGGCGAACAGGGCGACGGTGAAGCGCCAGTGGACGTCGATCGACCGGCGCGAGTTGCTCAACGGGAGCGACACGAGCGACACGACGCTGGCCGTGCCCCACAGGGCGAGCGGGCTGAGGCGCTCGATCCAGACGGTCCACGCCGGGGTGCCGAAGACGGTCGCCTCCCACGCGGCCGTGAAGAGCTCGACGGCGAGCAGGGTGACGACGGTGACGGTGGTCGCGAGCTTGTGCAGGCGCAGGCGAGGGTAGAAGGACGAGGGGTCGGCCTCGTCGTCGAGCTCGAGGTGGGCCCGGTCGAGGGGCTGGGCGCCATGGTCGTCGTCGTGGTCGGGTGCGAGCTGGATCGGCTGGCGCTTTGGCGGGTGCGAGACGGCGAGGCCGAGAGCGAGCGCGGTCGACCCGAGGGCGAGCACGAGCGACGGCACCCACGCGGGGACGGGCGCCGACTTGTGGTGCAGGGCCTCGAGGGCAAAGACGAGCATGGCGGGGCTCTAGCCGTGCAGGCTGCTGTGCTCGTGGTGGACGCAGGAAGCGAGAGCGAGCTGTTCTCCACGAGGTACGTCGTCGCTCTTCTCGTGCGAGTCAGGCTCTCGCTCGACTGACTCGGCGCAGCGCATGCCCTGTCGAGCAGCTCTAAGTCGGTGTAACTCGCCCAGTCGATCGACCGTCTGCTGCCCCGGCGAGGCGAGCCCGGCCGGCTTCACCGCCTCGCTCGTCTCGCGCCCTCAGCTCCTCCTCGCACCGCGATCAGTCCCTCGCTCTCGACCAAGAGGGTACAGAGCACGCTTGCTGTGCTCGCGAGTAGCACCACTCGTCCGTGCACCAGCTGCACGTCGCTCCCGTGCCGTCACCACCACTCGGCACGCTCCTTCAACCCCGACCCTCGCCCCGCCCCGAGGCCACCATGGCCGACGACCAGGACTCGTGCGTTCCCCTTCTCTCTCTCTCTGCCTAGCACCGCAGTCGAGCTGACCCGCCTCCCCGCCCGCAGCTCGTTCGACTCGGACGCGGCCGCCCTCGCCCACTACCGCGACCGCTGCCGCTCGCTCCAGTCGCAGCTCGCAAACGCCGAGAACGACATCCTCGACTTTACCGAGTCGTCCAAGGAGCTCCAGGCCGAGCTCGAGCAGGAGCTCGAGCGCGTCGAGCAAGCCGAAAAGTCGCTCCGCCGCGACCTCGACGACGCAAAGAACCAGGCCGACGACTGGAAGACCAAGTACACGTCCGCCCTCCGCGACCACACGGCCACCATCTCGCACATGCAGCGCGAGCTCGAGACGCTGCGCGCCGCCGAAAAGAGCCTGCGCGCCCGCGTCCGCGACATGGAGCTCGACAACGACGACCTCGAGAAGAGCGAGCGGTGCGTCTCTCGCCGCTTCTCGACGTCCTGCGACGTGAGCCTGACTCGTGTGTCCCTCCCCCTTGCGCACGCAGTGAGAAGGACTCGTCGCTCCAAGACCTCGACACGCGGTACAACAAGTCGCTCGAGCGCATCGCCCTCCTCGAGGAGGAGCTCGTCACCAAGGCGCAGCTCGATGAGGATGTTCAGCGGCTCAAGGACGAGCTACGCGGTGCGTCCCTCCCGCCCTTCCCTCTTCCCCCTGCGCCGGCTTGAGCTCACGTCGTCCTTCCGCCGACAGAGGTCAACGAGGAGCTCTCGTTCACAAAGACCCAGCTCTCTGCCGTCCCTCCACCACCTCCTGCACCTTCGACCGCTTCGACCACGCCTGTCGAGCCCGAGTCGCCGACCCCCTTCCCTTCCTCGAGCGCGCTCGCCCTCGGCGACGACCCGCCGCCGCGCCGCACGCCCTCACCCGCACCTCCCGACTCGCCCTCGCCCTCGATCGAGCTCTCGAACCCGACACCGCTCCTGTCGTCGCGCATCCGTCCCTCGGCGACCGCCGCCGCCGCCGCACCCGCGTCCGCCTCGACCCTCACCTCGCCTTCCCCCTCCAAAATCGCCCGCTCGACCTCGTTTTCCGCCATCCCGTCGAGCCCTGCGCCCTTCCGCGCCCCGCTCATCAGCGGGGCGCCGTCGCTCGCGCGCTCGACCCGCACGGCGCACCTCGCCCGAGGCGGCGGCGGCGGCCTCACGAGCTCGCCCTCGACGCCCGTCCTCTCGTCGCCGTCCAAGTCGGCCGCCGCCGCCTCGCGCCTGCCGCAGAGCCCGGCGCGCGGTATCCCGCGCACCGACACGGCCACCATGATCCGCGACATGCAGCAGATGACGACGCGCGTGCGCGCGCTCACGAACCGGCTCGACCACCGCCGTACGAGCGTCATGCGCGGCAGCGCCATCCCGAGGATCGGGTCGCCGACGGCCACGGCGGGCGCGACCACGGCGGCAGGCGGCGGCGGCGGCGGCGGCGGCGGCATGGCCCGCAGCTCGACGATGCGCGGGCTCAACGGGGCAGCAGGAGGGAGCATGCGCCCGCCGAGCCGCCTCGGCAGCACCGACGTCGCCCCGCGCGAGTCGTCGCGTCCACCCTCGCGCTCGTCATACCTGCGCTCGTCGCTCGCAGCGCCGCCACGCCCGTCGAGCCGCATGAGCCACCTGTCGGCCTCGTCGTCGCGCCCCGTCTCGCCCGCACCGCCCTCGCTGCCCTCGCGCTCGCCGACGCCGACGCAGGGCCTCGCCTCGGGCTCAAGCACACGCGCAAGTACGCGCCCCGGCTCGGCGCTCGGGCTCGGGCGGTCGCTCGGCCCGGGAGGAGGAGCGACGCAGCGCCGCTCGGTGAGCGGGACGAGCGGCGCGCCGCCCGTCGCGGGCTTGTCGCGCAGCGTGCATGGGCGCAGTGGGAGTGTGGCGTCGACCGCGAGCACGAGCACGAGCGGGAGCGCGACCGTGGGTGGGCGAGGCGGCGCGACGGCGAGCAGCAGCAGCAGCGGGAGGAGCACGCCCGTCGTGCCGCTCGGGCCGCCGCCTAGTCGACGGCCGGGCAGCTCGCTCTCGTCGCACACGAGCGACTCGGCGGCGGCGGGCGGCGCAGGGCCTGGAGCGGGCTCGAAGGTGGCGAGGAGGGTGAGCGGCGGGTTCGGCCTGCTGGGCAAGAGCATGAGGAGGAGGAGCGTGACGCAGGGCGAGGAGGTGCCGCCGCTGCCAAGCGCGCGAGGCGTGTAGCGCTCTGCAACTCGACCATGTGCAAGCGCGTGCAGGACGAGCGCGACGTCTGCATGACGGCGCTCGGGCCTCGAGAGCTGCCGCTGTCGGATTGAGCGAGAGCTGTGGCTCGCTCCTCGTCAACTCTCGTACCTTTGAGCCATGCCCTTGGAGCGCTTCCCGAGAGAGCGCGCTCCATGCTGTCCAGGGCGGCACGAGCGAGACGGCGAAAGGTACCGGCAGCGCGGGTCGCGCCCTCAATTGCTCACGCGACCTGTGCACCGCGCCGCACGCACTGCGCGCGTGCAGGATCGTCCTCTCCGTGCGAGCCCGTCCCGTCTCCCGTCGAAGCCGCTTTGAGAGCGTGGAGGGCGAGTGAAGGGGCAGCACGGGCGACGCGAGCGATAGGGTGACCCGGTCCACCGGCGGCGCGGGCGACGGACGAGAGCAAGCTCAGGACGACAGCGGGCGAGGCGGGCAGGAGGTATCGACGAGCGCTGGATCCGTACGATAGCGGACTCGAGCCTAAAGTTGGGTCGCCCCGCAACCTCGCAAAGTTGACCTCGCGGTACGACGGACCCCCGCTCTCCGAGGCTAAGCGCGCTCGACCGGCCTCCGAGGGCAAAGCTTCTTTCCGCTCCCCTCCTCCCCATCGCCACACCCTCGCTGTGCTGCCGCCGCTGCACGCCGTCCGCGCCCCGGCCGCTCGCCTCGCACCTTTCGACCCGACCGCAGCCATGTCAACCTCGACCTCGCACCCGGCACCGGCCCGCACGCCGTCCGAGCTCTCCACCGCCGGCGACGAGGAGAAGGCGCTCGAGAGCGTCAAGGGCAGCGACGCGCAGGGTGTCGCCGCCGCAGGGTCGCACGAGCACGAGATCGTGAGCGAGACCGAGGGTCCGTTCGTCAAGTTGAGCCGGCACCTCAAGACGCTCGGCGTCGAGACGAGGTCGCTCGAGCGCGTCCCGGAGGATCAGCGAGACGAGGTCCGTCCCTGCTCTCTACCGTGCTCTCGACGATGCACTCGCTGACTCTCAATCGCGCGCGCAGCTCCCGTTCTGGCGGTTGGCGCTGCGCCAGGTGCGCTCGCGGTCGCCTCGTCCTCGCACGTCAGCTCTCGAGCGTCGTCGCTGACTGCCCTGTCCTCCCCTATCGCCTCCTCCTACTCGACTTCATGCCGCAAAGGTGCGTCCCACCCTTCCTCGCGGGCGAGCGCGAAGCGACCGAGACTGACCTCGCTCGGCCCCTCGCAGATTACATTCTGGTTCTCGGTCAACCTGTCGTTCAGCTGCTTGGCGACGGGCTACTTGGGCAGTCTCGTACGTCCTCTTCAGCTTCTCGCAGGGTCGAGCGACGAGCGGGACTGACACCCTGCCCCGCCCTCGCCTTCGCTCGGCGCAGTACTACACGCTCGACTTCAAGACGTCGCTCGCCGTCATCTACCTCGGCGTCGCGCTCGGCTGCGCCGTCTCGGCGACGATGGCGACGGTGCGGCCTCTCTCGCCGCCTGCGCTCCTAGTCCCGCCGCTCACGCTCTGTCTCTCCCGCAGCTCGGTCCCAAGACTGGCTTGCGCACGATGGCTATCGCACGTTTCGCCGGCGGCTTCCCTGGCACCGCGTTCATGAGTGTCGTGAACGCCGTCGTCCAAATCTGCTACAGGTGCGCCTCTCCTTCTCGCTCTCACTCGTCCCTACCGTCGCACGAGACTGACTCGTGCTCCTCGCCCCAGCATCTCGACCGCGATCGTCGGCGGCCAGGCGCTCCGGGCCATTAACGGCTGCTCGCTCGTCGTCGGCATCGTCGTCCTCACGGTCGTCGTCCTCGTCCTGTGCGTGTACGGGTATCGCTACGTGCATGTGTGGGAAAGGTCCGTCCTCTCCCTCTTTCTCCCCCTCTCTCTCTCTCTCTCCTTCGCGTTCGCGTACTCATGGTGTTCACGTCGTGCAGGTGGGCGTGGATCGGGTCCTTCATCATCTACTGCATCGTCCTCGGCCTCGGCAGTCGCGGCGACTACGACGTCGACCGCCTCACGCCGACCATGGACGAGGGTCGGGAGCTCACGGGCGACGTCCTTTCGTTCCTCGGCATTATGTTCAGCGTGGGATCTGTACGTCGCCTCGCCGACCCTCGACTCGCGACGAATCCTGACTGACCTTGCCGATCCTCCTCGCGACAGGGGTGGACGTCGATTGCGGCCGACTACAACATCACGGTCCCGGCGTCGACGCCGTCGTGGATCATCTGGTGCTCGACCTGGCTCGGCATGTACCTGCCGATCGTCTTTACCTGCACGGTGTCGGCGACGTTCATGGTGCGTCCTCGTCCCTTTCCTCGATCCACCCTCGCGTCGTGCTCGACCTTCATGAGTCGAGAGCTCACTCTCCCTCGTTCATGCAGGCCTTGAGCAAGTCTGACTATGTCACGGCGTTCGAGGAGGACTCTCTCGGCGGCGGTACGTCGGCGCTCGAACCTCTTCCTTCCCGGCCAATCTCGAGCCTGTTCACTGACTTTCTCGTATCCTCCTCGTCACTCAGTCGTCGGCCACATCCTCATCGAGAACGTCGGCGGGTTCGGGAAGTTCCTCATGGTCCTCCTCGCCTTCTCGACCGTGTCGGCGCAGATCCCGAACTGCTACTCGGGTGCGTCCCTCTCTCCCTTGCCTCCCTCTTGCCGAGCTCTCGGTACCACGACATCGTTGCGCACGTGACTGACTCGACCTTGACGAACAGGGGCCCTCTGCATCCAGGCGATCCACCCCATCCTCCTGCGCGTTCCTCGCATTCTCTTCGTTGTACTCTTCACGGCCATCTACCTCGCATGCGCTCTCGCCGGCCGTGAGCACCTCTCCGAGATCGTGTCGAACTTTGCTGCGTGCGTCGCCGCCTCTCTCTCCCTCCTCTCGCAGCCCTCGAGGACGGCGCCTTGTTCGCCGGAACCTGACCAGCTTGGTCGCACGCGCAGCATTCTTGCCTACTACACTGCGTTCCTCGCGTCGATCGTCTTCGTCGAGGTGCTGTGGTTCCGCCGCAAGAATGGCCCGCTCGGCGGCAAGACGAACTGGGACGACGTCGCCGACTTCAGCAAGCTGCCACCCGGCATCGCCTGCTGCGCCTCGATCGCGTGCACCATCCCTGTCGTCGTCATGGGCATGGCTGCGACGTGGTACGTCGGGCCGATCGCGCTCGCCATCGCAAAGCCGTACGGCGGTGACCTTGGTGCGTCCCCTCTCGCTCAGTCTCTCGTTCGCTCGACGACGAGCTCACGCCGTTCTGTCCCTGCAGGCTTCGAGCTCTCGGCCGGCGTCTCTCTCGTCACGTACCCGCTCTTCCGTTACGCCGAGATCCGCTACTTTGGGCGGTGAGGGCAGGTTTCGGGCGGGACGACGAGGACGAGGAGGGCGCGCATTCGAGCGGCTCTGGGTGGGGAACTCGAAGGCGCGTTCTGGCGGATCTATCTGTACTTCTGTTGAGCATGCAACACATTCATTACTGCTACCCAAGGCTTGCTTGCGACGAGCGAGCGCTCCTCGAAAACGAGAGTCTCGCGGCTCTCGAGGAGCAGACCGCGGCACCGACAGGGAGGTGGACCCGCCGCACTGGCCGGCTGCAGACATGCTCTCAGGTGCTGTGCGAGCTGCTCACGCGCTCGCAGGAGGCCAGCGGAAAGCGTCAGAAGACTTCATCAGTTGGACGACCACGTCGAGGATCTCTCGACCGCCAGAACCTCCGGTCGGCCCCCAGCTTGGTCCCGTGCAGTCAGAGAGCTTGTACCGAGCGGCTCCGAGTCCCTCCCATAGCCCCCCTGCCGCCGCTGTAGTAGCGTGCGCTCGGCGCAGAGCGTTCTTTCGTCGCCGCTGCGATCCGCGCAATCCTGCTGCGCATCTCGCTCGTGCACGGGGCAAGCTTGTGCGCGAGCTTCCCGCGTACTGTGACGCCAACCTGCGCTACCAATCGCGGCAATCACCGCCGACTTCCTCTCCCTCACCTCGTCTTCGCCCTCGCCGCTTCTTCCGACGTTTCCTCAGCTCGCGCCCGTCTTGATGGCAGACCCACTCACGAGCGAGCTCCTTTTCGCCATTCTCGAGGATCACGCTCTTCCCGCTCGCACCCTCGTGTGGCCCAGCTCGCGTCAGGCGACGCTAAAAAGCGCTTCGCTCGACTCGGCTCGCTCGCGTCGCGCAGCAGCTCAAAGACGACCTCGCTTCTCGACTCGCGGTATCTCATGACCTTGTCCCGGCCGACACGCACTCGGCGAGTTCGCTCGACGAGTCGTCGGGCGACGCTCTCGCGCCAGGCCTGCACTGCCGTCCGTCAACCGGCTCGGTCGCTTCTTCCTCAGCGCTCGCATTACTCGGCAGAGCACTTCAAGAGCTTCGAGAGCTCCGAGAGCTCCAAGGACACGCTGCGTACGCTCAACGTCGTCTCGGCTCTGGTCGAGAAAGCGTCCCTCGTTCCGAGCGAAGCGGTCAAAGCGCGCTTCCTCGTCTGTCGGGCTGCGCGTTCTCGCCTCCGAGCGCGCCAAGTTCGCCCTTCTCGCGTGAGCCGTCGATAGCCGGTGCGGCGCAACTTGTGTTTACGTGGTGCGGACGGCCGAGTCGAGCAGGAGCCGCAAGACGAGCGACTTTGCTCCGCTCGAACTATGAGAGTTTGTGCGCGAGCTCTGGGCGGCGAGGGCAGCGTAGCAGTCGTCGTCGCACTTGGGGCATGTATCGAGGACCTGCTGGTCCTTCGGCGACTTGCAAGAGAGAGCAATGCGACCCGGCAACGCGAGCTGCTCGTTCGATTTGGCGTCCTCGGGCTTCGTCGTGGCTCGGCGGCTCGTCTGCGTCGACGGCCGCGCAAGGCTGTAGAGGAGCATCTGTTCCGCTGTCCGAGGGACGAGCCTCAGCTGTGAGAAAGCGCCAGGAAGCCTGGAAAGGGGGACCGTGCGCCTCGAGCGAGCATCTCTCGGTCGCCTCTCTCTTCTCAAAGAGCAAGGGCGTCGGTCTATGCGGGACAACTGCCTTGCACACTCGGCATCGTACAACACGCCGACACGTCTGGATCCTGCTGCGCTCCCTCGTCCTCCTCAAAAGCTCGACCTCGTCGCTCACGAGTCGGCCGCCTGCTGGCGGGCCACGTTCTCGCTCGCCTTGTCCTCGAAGCCGAAGCGCGACGCGATGTTCATCTGCGAGCGAGAGAGGGAATAGAGTCAGTCTCGTTGCTCGACGAGAAGGAGATGTCGCAAGTGCAGGAGGGACGAGACGAGGGACGCACCGCCTGGAGCTCCTGGAAGAGGAGCTTTGCCGCGTACGGGATGTGGACCTGGGCAACTACAGGTGGACGAGAGTGTCAGTACGTGATGCCCTTGTTGGCCGTCGAGAGGCGACGAGGAGAGGAAGAGGGACGCACTGGCCGTCTTGTTCCGGCACGCGCGGCACTCGAACGACTGCTTCTTGAGGTTGGCGATGGCGGTCAAGCCGCAGCTGCGAGAGTTGATGCGCCGTGCGAGAGTCAGGGACCGTGACCGAGAGGTGACGGGCGCGAGAGAAGGGAGAAAAGGGACGCACATCTCGCAGACGTGGACCCGGTAGCCGTCGCTGACGTCGAAGACGCGCTCCTTGAGGAAGCCTGCGACACCGTGCGCGAGCATGCAGCTGTGCATCAGGTCGAGAGAGGGTCAGGGAGGAGCTCGGGACGAGAGGAAGAGGGAGAGAGAGCAGGGACACACTCGCGCTCCATCTCGCCGAACCTCAAGCCGCCGTCGCGCGAGCGACCCTCGACAGGCTGCCTCGTCAGGATCTGGACCGGGCCACGAGCTCGGGCGTGGATCTTGTCGCCGACCATGTGCTTGAGGCGCTGGTAGTAGGTCGGGCCGAGGTAGACCTGCGCCTGGAGCTTGCGGCCGGTGTGGCCGTTGTACATGACCTCGAGGCCGCGCGAGTGGTAGCCGTAGTTGCGCAGGAGCGACGAGATGGCCTCGACCGTCACCTCGCTGAACGGCGTCGCGTCGCCCTCGTTGCCCGTGATGGTCGACACCTTGGACAGGAGGCACTCGACCAAGTGGCCGATCGTCATGCGCGACGGGATGGCGTGCGGGTTGATGATGATGTCGGGCGTCGTGCCCTCGGGCGAGAACGGCATGTCCTCATGGCGGTACGTGATGCCGATCGTGCCCTTCTGGCCGTGGCGCGAGGCGAACTTGTCGCCAATCTCGGGCACTCGGGTCGAGCGCACGCGGATCTTGACGAACTTGAGGCCTTCCGAGTTGGTCGTGAGGAGCACCTGGTCGACGATGCCGTTCTCGGTCGACTTGAGCGGCGTCGAGACGTCACGCTTCGTGTGCGACTTGAGGCGCTGGCCGAGCTCCTCGGAGTCGGTCGGGAGCGGCGCCGTCTTGCCGATGATGATGTCCTGCGAGGCGAGGATGGAAGGAGCGAGAGAGGGAGGAAGGGGAGGAGGAGAGAGAGGTCAGGTCGAGTCGACGACGGCGGGAAAGGGAGAGAGGAAGAGGAGAGAAGGGGAGGGGACGTACCTCGCCTGCGACGCGCTCGCCGAGTCCGACGAGGCCGTCGGCGTCGAGCTTCTCGTACGTGCCGTGCTTGAGGCGCAGGGTCGAGTCGCGCGTCGGCTTCTCAAACTCCTCGAGCTGGACCTGGCCCGATTTTTTCTCCTGGTCCATGTACGACCGGTAGTACAGGGAGCGGAACAGGCCGCGGTCGATCGACGACTGGTTCATGATGACCGAGTCCTCCTGGTTGTAGCCCGAGTAGCACAGGATGGCGACGATCGCGTTCTGGCCGGCGGGCAGCTCGCGGAAGTGGAGGTACTCCATCGAGCGCGTCGTCGCGAGGGGCTTTTGCGGGTAGTACAGGATGTTGGCCATCGTGTCCATGCGGACCTGGTAGTTGGTGAGGTAGACGCCCATGGCCTGCTTGCCCATGGCCGACTGGTACGTGTTGCGCGGCGACTGGTTGTGGTCCGGGAACGGGATGATGGACGCGCAGATGCCGAGGATCATGCTCGGGTGGATCTCGCAGTGCGTCCACGTGTGCGTCTTGGCGGCGCCCGTCGCCTTGACCGTCGCCGACGCGTCGCCGAGCCCGCCGGCCGTCACCTCGAGCTCGCCCGTCTCGGCGTGGTGCCGCGACGACTCGAGGTCCTCGGGCGTCATGCAGATCATGACCGTCTCCTCCTCCTCGGCGTCGAGGTACTCGACGATGCCCTGCTCGACGAGGTCGTTCCACTTGAGCTTGCGCGACGCCTCGTCGTCGTCGTCGTCCTCGTCGCCGCCGCCGAGCGCGCCGCCGGCCGGGTCGCGGTTCAGGGCGTCGATGTGCTCCTTGCGCAGGGCGAGGCGCTGGTCCTCGACGACGAACAGCGGGCGACACACGCGGCCGGCGTCGGTGAACAGGCGCAGCTCGCGCTCGCGCACGTCGCGCACGATCGACACCTCGTACGAGATGTCGCCCCGGCGCCGGAGCGACTTGATCGTCGACACGAGCTGGGCCGGGTCGCGGTGGACGCCCTGCCAGACGCCGTTGACGAACACCTTGGTCGCCTTGCTCATGTCGGACGAGTACTCCTCGAGGTTCTCCATGCCCCACTCCTCGAGAAACTCGACGATGGGCGCCGACGGGGTGCCGACCGAGATGTAGGCCATGAGCGCGAGGTTCTTGACGAGGCCGCACGCCTGGCCCTCGGGCGTCTCGGCCGGGCACACCATGCCCCAGTGCGTGTTGTGCAGCTGGCGCGGCTTGGCGATCTTGCCGTCGCGGCCGATCGGCGTGTTGGTGCGCCGCAAGTGCGACAGGGTTGAAGCGAACGTGTACCGGTTCAGGACCTGCGACACGCCCGCCTTGGCCGACATGGCCTTCTTCTGGTCGCCCCAGTTGCCCGTCGCGAGCGAGTACTTGAGCCCGTTGGTGATCGTCGTCGACTTGACGGCCGAGTTGATGTTGAACGGCTTGCCCGTCTCGACGCACTGCGAGAGGGAGAGGGGAGGAAAAGGGCGAGTCAGGGTCCGGCTCGTCGTCGACGTCGTCGTTCTCGGGCGCGACAGAGAGAGACAGAGAGAGAGACGACGAGGACGCACCTTCTGGAGGTGGCGGTACACGTCCTTGGTCAACTTGCGGAACAGCATGCGGAACAGGGCGGCCAAGAGCGGGCCGGCGAGGTCGAGCCGCTTGGCGCCAAAGTGGTCGCGGTCGTCAAGCTCTCGGCGCTGGAGCGCCGCGAGGAGGAGGCGGTGGACCATGTAGCCGAAGAAGAAGGCCTTCTTGGTGTTCTGGCCGGGCGCCATCGACACGTGCGGCAGCATCTCCTTCTGGAGGATCTCCTGCGCGTAGTTGATGCGACGGTCGCGCGACAGGGCAGAGACGGTGCCGCGGCGGCCGATAAAGTCGAGGGCGACCTGCGAGTGCGGATGGGCAAGGAAAGGGGCGCGAGAGAGAAAGGGTCAGGACGCGCTCGACCCGAGCTCGAGGGACGAGGAGGGGACGGCGTGGACGCACGTCTCGAGACTGGATCGGGAACGCGTCCTCGAGACAGGGCTTCATGAGCTCAAACATCTCGGTGTCGGTGCGGTCGTACACGATGTGGTCGAGGATGTCCTTGTCCGGGATGATGTCGAGCGCGCGGAAGACGACGACGATCGGGATGTCGGCGCGAATGTACGGGATCGTGCTCTTCATCGTGGCGCCCGACTGGCGCTCGGTGCGGCGCATCATCTTGATCTGGAGCGACGAGATGGTCTTGCCGCCCTTCTCGACGGCCGACCTAATCTCGGCGAGGTACGAGATGGGCGACGGCTGCGACTTGGCGAACACGTACACGCGGTTGGTCGCCATGCGCTCCTGCGCGATGAGGACCTTTTCCGAGCCGTTGATGATGAAGTAGCCGCCCTGTCGAGGAGGGAGAGGGAGCCGAGGTCAGTCGAGTTCGCGACGGCGACGGCGAGGAAGAGTGGGACGCACCTTGTCGAACGGGCACTCGTTGAGCTCGAGCTTGTCCTTCTCCTCGAGGCCGTCGAGAATGCAGAACTTGCTCTGGAGCATGATGGGGACCTGCGGCGCGAGGAGACGAAACGAGTCAGTCGATGCTCCCGACCTCGGCCGCAAAGGATGAAAGGGAGAGAGTGAGACGCACCTTGCCGATGTAGATCTTCTCCTCTGTCGGTCCACCGTCTGCGCCGTCGCCGTCTGCCGCCGACGGGTCCTCGTCGACCCAGTCGAGCTCGCCCGTCTCGGGGTTGGGCTCGTCGCTCGCCTGGACGAGGACGCGCTTCTTGAGGTCGATGTACAGCGGCGCCGAGTAGCTGCGCGAGGGAGGGAGAGAGGGCGAGTCAGGCGTGCGCGTCGAAGAGAGGAGAAGGAGGGAGAGCGCGAGGACGCACGTGAGGTTGCGGAGGCGGGCCTCGTTGGGGAACATGGGGGCGACGGTGCCGTCGGCCTCGGTCTGGGTCGGCGGCGAGAGGTAGATCTGGCCAAAGTTGAGCTCGTAGCGCTTGGTCTGGTCGTTCTGCTTGCCCGTGTGCTGCATGTTCTGGTCGAGGATGAGGGACCCAGACTCGTCGACGAGTTCCTGCATCGTGTTGTTGACAAACTCGTCGAACGAGTCGATCTGCTGGCTGACGAGCGTCTTGTCCTCGAAGTAGGCGGCGATGACGGCCCAGCAGTCCTCCTGGGTGACCGTCTCGTCGGCGTAGGCGTCGGCTGCCGCTGCGGCGTCGGGGCCATAGCCGTAGCCGTCGTCCATGGCGCCGTCGTAGGCTTGCGAGTAGTTGGCGTAGTCGTACGACATGGTGCAGCGCTCGGCGGGGGGTCGAGGTCGACGAGGACGAGGACGAAGGGCGGACGCGGCGGTCGGGGTGCCGAGAGGCGGGTCGAGGCGCTAAGGAGCGGTGTGCTGTGGCCCGAGGGCGGGTGCTCGGTCGACGTGCGGCGGTGGACGAGGTCGGAGCGAGGGCGGGGAGATGAGGAGAGGGGAGGGGGAAGAGGGACGGCCGAGCCTGCGCAGGAGGGGTGCGGGATGGGTCAGACGGGCTGCTGCATTGAGCAGGGCACTGCTGCACCGCGCTGTGTCCCGCCTCGACGTGTGCTCGCCGCTACCGGCGGTGCCATCTGGTCGCGCTCGCGACCGAGTCGCCCGCTGGCCGCCACTCGACCGCCGCGGGTGCTGGGAAGGACGGGTGTCGACGATGATGGGGGCAGGGCGCAATGCTCACCTGTGCTGGAGTGGCGCGCCGTGTGGTGTCGGGTGCTGAGTAGTCGCGCGGCGAGGGCGACCGTCGGCGGCGACGAGAGGGACGAGACGGCGACGGGTGAAGGCGGGCGGTGGCTCGAGGTGTCGAGGTGGTCGCAGATGCTCAGCAGACGAGCAGCACAGGCCCAGCTGGAGCGGGCTGGCGGAGGGATGGCGGCAGAGCAGCGAGCCTTTGGACTTGGTCAAGGCGAGTCGAATGTCCCGACCGGTTCTCGCTCCCCACTTACTCGGTCGGAGCCACGAGTAGCTCAAGCTGTAGCCACACATCACTGCAGTACATCCTGCTCCACCCCAGAACCCAGAGAGACGAGGTCGGGATTCGCTCTTCACCGCCGCCTTCGTCTCGCTCGATGTCGTCCGCCTCTCGCCCCTCTGCTCTGCTGCGCTCCCTGCTTGATTTCTCAGCATGCCTCCCGACCGTACCACCCCAACCGGCACCGCCTCGCGCTTTTCAGAGGCACTGCAATCCGGCGCACCTCTCTCTTCCGTCGGGTCCGCTCACCCTCCCTCTCTCGAACGCGGCAAGGTGCGCACACACTCTCTCCTGGTCCTCTCTATGCCCCAGTCTGACTCGACCTCCCGCCCGCAGGCTTGCCTCACCTGTCGTCGCCGCCGTGTCAAGTGTCCGTCCCCCCTCTCCTCCTCCTCCTCCTTCGACCGGCCCCTCGCCCACGCCAAATTCAGCTTACCTTGTCCTACCCTGCAGGCGATGGCGCACGGCCGGTCTGCGCACGCTGCGCCAAGTCGGCTCGCGCCCACGGCGAGTGCGTCGCCCTCTCCTCGGCTCCTGCCCCACCGCGCAATCGCGACTGACTCTCTCTCGCCCGCACCGCAGGGACCCGTCCACGTTCGTCTGCGTCTACGACTCGGGCGTCCCAAAGGCCAAGCAGGCGACGTCGCCGACCTCCACAAAGGACTCGGACGCCATCGCCGACCTCGCCGCTCAGATCGGTCCGTCCTTCCTCCTCATCGAGCCGCACTCTCTGTCGGCGGCCGCAAGCTGACGGTCTTTCCCTTACCTGCAGCCGAGCTCAAGGAGCAACTGACCCAGCAACGACCGCCGCCGCCGCAACAGCAGCAGCCCGAGCCCGACCACTCGCCGCAGCCGTTCGCGAGCACGTCGTCGCACACGCTCGACGTCAACCCGCCCCAGCCGACCTGGTCGGCCTCGACCCCGAACTTCTCGTCGTCGACGGCATCGGCCAACTACTACCCGGCCGCGACGGCGACGACGGCCGACCACACGTCGACCTCGCTCGTCTGGTCGTCGACCCTCACCGCGCCGTACTCGTCGTCGACGACAACTGGGCCCGACCTGACCGACCTCGCCATGGCCGCCTCGCCCCTGTACCAGCTCCCGCTCCCGACCATCAACTGGGGCGCGCTCACCCACTCGTCGTACCCGTCCGACCTCCCGAGCCCGGGCCTGTTTGCGCGCCTCGTCGACGTCTACTTTGCCAAGCCCCACCTCGCGACGGGCCTCATCAACGAGCGCCGGTTCCGCCAGTCGCTCACCTACCTCGAGCTGCCCTCGGACCCGCGCTCGCCCTCGCCGTGCCTCCTGCACGCCCTCGTCGCGACGGCCGCGCTCCTCGTCCCCGAGTCGTTCTACGCCCCGCACGAGCCGCGGTATTGGTCGCCCAAGAGCTCGCTGTCGTCGCACCACGCCAAGCTCGCCGAGCGCGCCCTCGACCCGGCCTTCCAGCGCGGCCGCCAGCTCCTCCAGGTCGTCCAGGCGAGCGTCCTGTGCTGCTTCTGCGCCTATACCGACGCCCGGTTCGGCGACACGTGGCTCGTCAGCGCCATGGCCGCCCGCCTCGCCGTCACGGTCGGGCTCAACCACGTCCGGCGGGCCCCGGTCGGCGCCGCGTCGCCCGACGCCGGCGGCGAGCGAGGTGGACCCGGCGGAGCGCCGGCGCGCACCGAGGAGGCGCACCGCCGGCAGCGCCGCCTCAAGGACAAGAGCATGCTCGCGCCGACGAGCGACCGCGAGGAGGTCGACGAGCGCGCGTCCGTCTTCTTCTTCTGCTACGCCGCCGACAAGATGACGAGCGCCGCGACGGGCTGGGCCGCCGCCATCAACGAGGGTGCGTCGTCGTGTTCCTCCCCTCTCTCTCTTTCTGCCTCGCCGAGGCCGTCCTGACGCTCCCCCCTCACCTCGCAGACGACGTCACGAGCCTGTTGCCGCACCCGCCTGGCTCCGAGGACACGGTGCGCCCCCTCTCGTTCTACTCGCGCTCGTCGTCGTCGCATCGAGACTGACCCTCCTCCTCAAGCGCCCGCAGTACGAGGACCCGCTCTCGTCGCCCCTGTACCTGCACAACCCGGCCTTCTTCACCGCGTGCCCGCCGCACCTGACGGGCGCGCTCCAGCTCTACTTCAAGGCCTACATCCTCCTCGGACGCGTCGTCAGGTTCCTCCAACGAGCACCTGAACCTGTCGGCAGCGGCTATGCCCGTGAGGACGACCCCGACCTGCGCGAGACGTGCGTCCCTCACCCTCTCTCTCTCTCCCCTTTCCCCTCTCTCTCCCCTTTCCTCTCCTTATGATCAGGGACCGCCTCCTGACGTGCGCGTCCCGCCCACAGGCCCGCCTTTCGGTCGCTCGAGCGCACCATTTCGCACTTCCGCCTCTCGATCCCGCGCGAGCAGTCGTACGCCTACTACGCGTCGCACGCCGGCATCGAGAACACGCCGTTCCTCGTCTTTACGATCCTCCACGTCCTCACGATCCTGCTCCACGAGCCGTTCTGCCTCGCGCCCGACGTCGACGAGCAGGACTTGAGCTTCCAGAAGTGCGCCGCGGCGGCAAAGGCCATCGTCGCCAGCGTGTACGAGCTCAACGGTGCGTCTCGGCCTCTCTCTTCCCTTCTCTCTTCTCGAGCTCGAGCGTCTCTGACGGTCCCTCTCGAGCAGGTTCGTCGTTCGAGGTCGGCCTTCTCGCCAGCTTCCTCAACTATCTCTGGGCCGTCGCAGGTCGTGCGTCTCGCTCTCTCTGCCTCTCTCTACGTCTCTCCCACCTCGTCGACGGTCCTGACGGCGGCCTGCTCGACCCCTCGCAGGCACCCTCGTTCGAGCACTCGCGCTCGCGTCGCGCCGCGGCGACCTGACGGCGGCGGCGCAGCTCGCCAACGACGTCAAGGCGCTCATTGGGGCGATGCAGGCCAACAAGAGCCGGGTCGGCGGTGCGTCCGACCTTTCCCTCTCTTTCGTCGTCGGCGACTGTCGGCGACAGACGGGTTCCTGACGCTCTCTCGCCCGCCTCCCTCTCCCCTTCCACCCCGCCCTCGCGCTCGACCTCACCCTCGCCCTCGACCTCTCTCTAACTCAAACTACTCGCCAATAGCGATCACGGCCCTCAACCTGCAGCGCCTCCTCCTGCACCCGTTCCAGGTCCTCGCCGAGTGCGTCTCGGGCCCCTCGCACGACCCGTCGCAGCACCCGACGTCGTCGTCGTCCTCGTCGTCGTCGCTGCCGACGCCGGGCGCCACCGCGACGTCGGGCCGCCCGACGACGATGGGCCGCAGCCGCGCCGACTCGATCGACGAGGCGGGCCACCCGGTCGACGAGCACTACGTCCCGCTGCACGAGCGGCAGCCGGGCATGGGCCGGTACAACGAGGACGAGGGCGCGCTCGAGATCGACCTCGAGGCCAACCGGCCCGGCGGGCTCGACACGAGCGCGAGCGCGAGCGCGCTCAAGGTCGCGAGCGGCACGGCGTGGGAGCTGCTCGGGCTCGGAACGGGCTTGTCGAGCGAGGCCAACGCGCTCATGGGCATGCTCGACGCGTGCGGCGGGCAGGAGTCGGGCCTGTGGGACTTGGCGGCGCTCGGAGGAGGGCAGTGAGCGGGCGAGGAGGGGACGAGCGGGCCAGAGGAGGCGAGGAGCAGCGGCGCCGGTCGCCGTCGAGACGTCGCCACTACAGCGTGTCTCTTTGTGTATGCAGTATCGATTTTCGCTCTCTCCCTTTCTCTACGCGAGCGAGCGAGTGAGAGGCCCGAGCGAGTCGAGGGCTGTCGAGAACGCTGCTCTCGGCGCCGCAGACTGGCCGCAAAGACCTCATTCCACCTCGATCGTTCGCTCGACATGACCACGTCGACACTCGACACGGCGTCGCACTCCACGATCCTCCCGCTGCGCTCGCTCGCCCCGCCTCGCCCGTCCTGCTCGCCCGTTCGGCTCGTCCCGCTTAAAGGGCGGCCCGCCGTCTCGCGCTCGACCGATCTGGATGCGTCGAGAATATGTGCCGCGCGTGCGAGTCCTGGATTGGGTGGCGGCGGATCTGCGGCGCCGAGAGAGGTCAGGTTCGCGAGTCGACGGACGAGCGAGGGAGGGAAAGGGGGCGCGCACCTGGGTCGACCGGCGTGGCCGTGGCTCGAAGAGGGCTTGACGACGATGACGGCGCCTCAGACGCTCATGCCCATGCTCTTGAGCGAGTCCTGGCCCTGGGCCGTGTCGCCGTTGGTCGAGCTGACGGCCATCCTTGGGCGGATGCCGAGAGCTGCGCACGCGGTGCGGTACTTTGTGCGCAGGGTCGACAGCTGAGCCGTCATGTCGACGTCGCCCTGGGCGGCCTCGGAGTCGTTGTGGGTCGGGAAGGCGTCGACGAGGGCGAGGAGCGAGTCGAGGGTCGAGGCGGCGCGGGACGACGACGAAGGTGGGCCCTGGACGGCGAGGATCTGCTTCCACAGGAGTGCAGTGCCCTGGATGTAGCCGATCTCGTCCCACAGGGTCCAGGCGTGGTCCCTGCCGAGCTCGCGGCCCTCGATGAGGCCGTGGAGGTGGCCGTGTGGGAGGCCGCTGTCGAGCCCCTGCTGGTAGAAGTCGCGCTCGAGGTGGAGGAGGCTGTCCATGCTGGTGCTCGAGAGGCCCGTACTGGCAAGCTCTGTCGGTACAAGGGCCGTGGCGGAGCAGAGACCGTCGAGCGATGAGGAGGACGAGCTCTCGGGCTCCTCCTGCCGTCCCACGCCCACCTGCCTGCCTGCTGGAGCCCTGCTTCTGCCAGTACAAGGTCCAAAACCGCCCTGTGCTGCGCCGCCTGTTCCTCGGGGTCGACAATCGCTTCATCGCCTCGACTTGCTTCCTTCATCTCTCGAACCGGCGTCGGCCTCGCACCGGGCCCAGCAGGCACTGAGAGCAGCTCCAGTGCGTTTTGTCTCCCTCTATCGACACTGAGCCGTGCTGACAGTCCCCGCACGCGCGCAGTGACGGTCGCAGCTCGTCGTCTCGTCGTCGTAGGCCTCGGCAACTACACGCACCCGCTCACACGCCACTCGGTACGTCCCTCGTGCTCCTCGTACACTCTCTGATCCCAGCTGACCATCCTGAACCGCGCGCAGGTCGGCCACGTCCTCCTCAAGAATCTCGCCAAGCGCGCCGCCGCCAGCCCGTCTCGCCTTTCCGGCTCGGCGACGCTCCTCTCGACCAAATACGGGCGCCACACGAGCTGGACATCGCGCATCCTCCTCGCCGCTCCGCCGTCCGCCGCCGACCAGACCCCGCTCGAGGTCCTGTTCGTCCTCCCGCGAGCCCTCATGAACGTCTCCGGGCCCGCCGCCGCCGCCGCGTTTGACGGCTTCCTCCCACCTGTCGCCGCTCCCTCTCGACCTGCCGTCCCGCCAGACGTCGGCGTCGACCCCGAGACGCCACCGCGACCGCGCAAGAAGCCGCCAGCCGCCCCCGTCAAGCCCATGCTCCGCCTCGTCTCCCTCCAGGACGACCTCGACCTCGCACCATCGGCCGCCAAGTACCAGCGCGGCGGCGGGCCTCGAGGGCACAACGGCGTGCGCTCCCTCTCGAGCGCGATCAAGGGCTCTCGCGACTTTCACCGCCTGTGGGTCGGGATCGGGCGCCCGGACGAGCGCAGCGAGGTTGCGAGCTACGTCTTGCGGCCACTGTCGCGGGACGAGGTGCGGGCGTGCGGGTACGACGAGGACGAGCGCGCGAGCGGGCCGGTCCTTGAGCGGGCATGGCAGGAGGTGCTCAGGATCGGGTTCGAGGACGAGTAGAGCCTCAAAAGCGGTCGAGCAACGCGAGCGGGCGCAGGTCGCCCTTTTCCGCTCGCCGTCATTGTCTTTCTGCATCTCGGCGAGCCGCTCGAGAGAGTCGCAGAGCGTCGAGAAAGCCTGAACGCGAGCGAGGGCGACCTTCTCAAACTGAGCGCTCGCCTTTCGCAAGCAGGAGCAGGGGCAGCAATCGCTGAAAGCTCTCGCGGTCACTCTCAAGAACTCGAGGAGTGTGAATGTGTGCATCGCAAATCGCTCGCCGTCGAGCGCTACTTGCGCTTGACCATCCCCTCGAGCATGTCGGACCCGGCAATCTGAAACTCGCCGCCGCCGTTGGCCTTTGGCCCGCGCATGAGCTTCTTCATCTTGGCCTCGGCATCCATCGCCTTGCGCCTGCGACCCGTCTCGAACGCGCCGCCGCTGCCGTCGTTCTCGTCGCGCTCGCGCTTGGTCGCCCCGCCGCCGTTGCCGCCGGTCGAGCGCGAGTTGGCGCCGCCCTTCTTGCCGCCCTTGGTCGGCGCTGCGTGCCCTGGGGCCTCGCGCATGCCGAACGACTTGGCGAGGTGGCCGAGGTGGAGCGCCTTGGTGTTGAAGATGCTCTTCTCGGCCGACGGGTGGGTCGCGTAGGCGCGAACGTGCGCCTGGAACGCCCGACGAGCGGCGGACGCCGTCTGTAAGAGACGCACACAGAGAGACAGAGTCAGGGAGAGGCCTCGACGGAAAAGAGGGAGAGAGAGAGAGAGAGAAACCGGGACGCACCTCCTCGGACGCACTGACCCATCGCTCAAAGCCCATCTGGACGTCGGTCGCCCTCGTCTCGTACTCGCGGCCCTCGCCCCCGTACCCCTCGCGCAGGACCTGCTCGACGCCGACCTCGCGCAGGCGCAGCTTGCCGCCGCCCGACGCCGCCGACGCGTTGATGCCCGACTCGAGGAACGACGTGTAGGCCGTCTCGGTCGGGAGGAGGAACGTGTAGGCCGTGCCCTGCGCACCGGCACGAGCGGTGCGGCCGACGCGGTGGACGTACTCGGTGACGCCGCCCTGCAAGAAGGAGGAGGAGGAGGGAGGGTCAGTGCGTCGGCTCGAGGAGAGGGCACGAGAGAAGGAGGAGAGGGCGCACCTCGGTTGGCGCATCGACCTGGACGACGCAGCCGACGTTCTTGACGTCGAGACCGCGAGCTGCGACGCTCGTGCACAGGAGGACGCCGGCGTCCGTGTCCTGGCCGGCGCGCTTGCCCTCGGCGATCTTGTACTTGCCCGAGAAGGCGCCGAGCGACGCGAGGCGGGTCTGGAGCGGCAGCGAGCCGTGCAGGCGGTAGATGGGGACGGCGGGCAGGAGCGGGTGCGTCGACACGAGGCGCTTCGACTCGTCGTCGTTGCTGTCGGCCTCGCGCTCCTCGGCGTCGTGCTCGAGCGCGGCCGCCTCGTCCGACGACGACGAGCCCATGCGCATCTTGCCGAGCGCGCTCCACCAAAAGTCGACGGCGTCGGTGCACGACATGAAGACGAGGATTTTGCTGCCCTTGCCCGACTGCTGCTGGCGCACGAGGAGCTTGCGCAGGAGGGCGACGAGCGCGACGAAGCGCAGCTTGGGCGGCACGACGACAAAGTGGTGCAAGAGCTGCGACGGCGGCGTGAAGCCCGTCGGGAGCGCGAGCGCCGTCGCCTCGCCGTCGTCACCGTCGGTCGCCGCCGCTGCCGCCTCGTCGCCCTCGTCGTCGTCGTCGGCGCCGCCCTTTGCGCCGGCGCCGAGCACCGTGAGGTCCTTCCTCACAGGCTCCTTGACGCGCACGTCGTCCCTCGCGCCGAGGACGGGCATCTCGCCGCCGGCGGCACCGTCGCCGTCGCCGCCGTTGCCGAGCGCGAGGCCGGCAAGGCGGTCGACGCCCTCGCTCGCCGTCGCCGAGCACAGGATGGTGCGCCGGCCCCACTCGCGTGCGGGGCCCTTGGGGCTCGCGGCGCTGCGGCGCTCGAGCTCCTCGAGGATGCCCTTCATCTGCTCCTCGAACCCGAGGTCCATGAGCCGGTCGCACTCGTCGACGACGAGCCACCGCAGGCCGACGCGCGCGTCGCCCGGTCCACCGCCGGGCGCCGACCGTGCGCCGAGCGGCGCGTTGTTCGGGTTGCCCGGGCGCCCTTGCGGGCCCTTTACGCGCGCCGCCTCGCCCGCGAGCCGGAACGCCTCGGTCGTCTTGAGGTGGTCGAGGAGGCGGCCGGGCGTGGCGACGACGATCGGGCACCCTTTGCGCAGGCGGCGCTTCTCGTGGGTGCGGTTGGCGCCGCCGACGAGGAGGCCGGCGGTGAGCGCTCGGGGCGAGATGCTGAACGGCTGGGCGGCCGTTGCGGGGGCCGACGAGGGGAGCGACGACAGGAGCGACTCGAGGACGGTGTGGATCTGCGAGGCGAGCTCGCGGGTCGGGGCGAGGATGAGGGCGAGGGTGCCGATCGAGCGGTCGGGGCCGGACGAGGAGGACGAGGACGAGGCGGTGGCCGAGCGGAGGAGCGAGGGCGGGAGGGAGAGGAGGTCTTGGACCATGGGGAGGAGGAAGGTGAGGGTCTTGCCCGAGCCCGTCTGGGCGCGGAGGATGGCGTCGTGGGCAAAGTCGCGCTGCTTGCGCTTGTGCGGGCCGTGCGCGGCCGAGGGCACGAGGCGCGGGATGGCGCCGGCCTGGCAGGCCGTCGGCCCCGTGATGCCGAGCTTGCCCGCGAGGCCGGCGACGAGCTCGCGCGAGAGGCCGAGCTTGGTGAGCTCCGGGGCCGGGTCGGGCGCGTCGTCCTGCTGCTGGTCGTCGTCGTCGGCGGCGGCGGCGGCGGCGGCCGAGGTGAGGGGCGCGTTCGAGGGCTTGGCGGGTGCGACAGGGGCGGACGAGGTCGAGGGTGCGGGTTCGGGGAGACCGTCGCGGGTGAAGAGGGACGAGACGAACTGCTTCTTGCCGCCGAACCCGACCTCCTGCTGCGGGCGGTGGTGCCCTGGTGGTGCGGGGCCGCCGGTCGGGCGAGGGGCCTTGGTCTTGTTGGGCCTGCGGTCGTCGGTGCCGTCGTCGTCGTCGCGCGGGCGCTTTGTGCCGTGCGGGCTGGCCGTGTTGTTGAGGGCAGGAGCGTCGCCACGCTGGGCCTTGCGGTGCTCGATCTGGCCGCGCTTGCGCTCCTTTGCGCGGTCGGTCCAACGGCCGCCCTTGTGGCTGCGGGCGCGAGTTGTGGCAGGCGCGGCCGAGGGAAGGTCGAAGTTGAGGACGAGCTCGTCGGCCATGTCGAGGCTGGCGGGCGGGCGTCGGGTGGGTCGGGCTCGATGGAGGGTCGAGGTGCGAGTCGAGGTGTGGGCAAGTCGGGCAATGCGCTTAGTCGAGTGTTGAGCGAGAGGGATGAGGAGGGAGAGAGAGTCGAGCTCGAGCGGAACGTTGTCTCATCTGGTCGCGGCCCCACCTTTCTCCCTCTTCCCTCCTCTCACACCTCTCACACAACCTCGGGAGCCCGTGACCCTGGCTCACCTACTCTCACGCCACCTCATCCGCCTCGTCCCGCGAGTCGCGACGTCGCCGCACCTCTCCCTCCCCCTCCTCCTCCGCCCCCCCTCGCGACCAACCCCCGTCGCGCCGATTCCCTCTCCCAGCCGCTCGACCGCCGCAATGTCGACCTCGACCACCTCCAAGCTCAAATACATCAAGCCAGACGACGTCGCTCACCTCATCCGCAACGGCGACACGGCCTCATTCCTCGTCATCGGTGCGCCCCCCTCTCCCTCGCCACGAGTCGCGTCGCCTCGCACCGACGAGCCGACACACTCTGCGTGTCGCCGAGGGCTGCTCACCTTGCTCCTCCCACAGACGTGCGCTCGTCCGACTTTCCCGGCGGCAACCTGCCCGGCGCCCTCAACCTGCACACCGGCCACTTCCGCTCGGACCGAGACGTGTGCGTCCCTCGTCTCTCGACCCTGTATTCGCAAGCTGACAAGCTCCCCCCTCCTCGTCCACCCGCACCTTTCCCCGGCCCGCTCCGGCCACCGTCCTCCCTCGCCCCACCCACCCACCTCTCCCTCGCAGCGAGCGCGTCATCCAGCAGCACATCACGCCGCGCCTCCCCGCCCTGCGCACCGTCATCCTCCACTGCATGCGCTCCCAGACTCGCGGGCCCTACGCCGCCTCGCTCCTCCAGCGCTCGCCCGCCCTCCCGCCAAACCTCGACGTCGTCGTCCTCGAGGGCGGCTTCCAGGGCTGGCTCAGGCGGTACCGCGGCGACAAGCGGCTGTTTGAGAACTTGGACGAGGGCCAAGGCAGCGACGAGTGGGAGGACGTCGTCAATGCGCCCGAGGGGAGCCGGCTCGAGGCCGACGACTCGAGGAGGCTGCGCGAGGGCAAGCAGCCCTGAGCTGGGCTTGTTGGACGAGGGCTGGCGCTCGAGGGCACGAGGTGTAGATAGAGGAGCACGCAGCCTGCAGCGCTAGACTGGTTCTGGAGCAGGCCCATGACCGAGAGCGGCCTCGGGATGTCGAGAGCTTTCTCCTTCTCTCGCTGCCTCGGCCGGCAAGAACAGAAAATCACAAGAGCGTGCAGCATCATCCACCGCAAGAGGGCCTCCTCTCTTTTTCTCATCGTCCCCTCCCTACCGCACCGACCGTCCTGCTCGACCGCCTCAGCTCGACCTCGAAGCCCGGCCGCACGCTCGAACTCGAACACGGGCACGGGCTCGGGCTCGCGCTCCTCCTCGGCGGCTTGAACGCGCTCGCGATGGCCTTGCGGCTCGCGCCCGTCTTGGTCGGCGAGCCGGACGAGCGCGCAAAGGTCGCGTGACGAGGCGGGCCGAGTGCGCCCACGGCGGCGGCGGCGGCGGCGGGACGGCGAGGGGAAGGGGGCGTCGCGAGCGCAGGGAGGGGAGGGAGCTCGACGCCTCGGAGGACGAGCGAGTTGCGCGTCATGCGCAGCGTCGAGCCGGGTGTGACGGCGGTCGACGAGGGCGAGGGCGAAGAGGGAGGGCAGGTCGGCGGCGCGAGGTGGTGACGGGCGCGCTTCGAAGGCGAGGGCGAGGCGGGATCGGGCGAGGGCGAGGACGCGGGGCGCTTCTTGGTCGTGCGCGCGGGCGAGGGAGGCGTGCCGTTGGTCGAGAGGGGTGCGAGCGGCCTGCGAGGGCTCGGTGGAGGGGCTTTCTTGCTGGAAGGAGCTGCGCAACAGGAACACGAGTCAGTATCTGCCCCTTCTGTAAAGCACAGGCGAGAGAGGAAGAGATGACGCACCGACAGCGGCCCCCTTTGACGACGCAAAGAGCTCGCCGAGCGTCGCCTGCTTGCCCGACCAATCTTGCGGCCGCAGGCGCTTCCAGTCGCCGACGAGGCGCGTCACGAACGCGTCCGTATCGCCGAGCACTGCGACAGGGGGCAAGAGTGTCAGGTGTGACCCTGCCGAGCCGAGTCAGAGAGAGGAGGAGGGAGAGCCGGACGGACCCTGGTAGTCGAACACGTCGCGCCACTCGCTCTTGCTCCCGACCTCCTCGCGGTTGACGAGCACGCGCACGCCGCCTCGACTCTTGACGCTCCTCGCAAACTCCTTGACGAGCTTCTTGAAGCCGGGAATCTTGAGGCTCGTGCCGAGGACGAGCATGACGTCCGGGCCGGGCGAGCCCGACAGGTCCGACAGCGACAGGGCGCCGATCGTCAGGGCGGCCGAGGAGGGTGGCGCCTCGTTGTAGAGCGTGATGGACGGGCGGAGGAAGGCGCGCGACAGGGACGACAGGGTGCGCTGGCCGCGCGCGAGTCGGACCGAGGCTGCAGGCGAGGAGGGTCAGCGACGGTGCAGAGAGGGAGAGCAGGACGGCGAGAGAGCGGGACGCACCTCGTTCCTCACACTGCGGGCACACGCCGACGCTGCCGCTCGCAAACACGTCGCCGTCCTCGTCGGTCCACGTCCGCACAAAGTCGCACCCGGTGCAGCGCACGGCGTGCACCGCCCCGTGCAGCTGCACATAGTCGCCCTCGACCTTGGCCTTGCCCTTGCCCTTGCCGGCGGCCGCACTTGACGACGACGGCGCTGCAGCTCGAGGCGTGATGCCCTCGAGCGCGACGGGGACCAAGCCCGTCCCGACGCCCTCGAGCCCGTCGATGTTCTGCGTGTACACGCGCAGGAGCTTGTTGCGCTTCTTGAGGAGGCGCATGAAGTCGTGCGTCGGCGTGGCGGGGCCTGGGCGGCCGGCGGTCGTCGACGACGACGACGACGGGTCGAGCGTGACCGAGTCGAGCGAGCGCTTGAAGGCGGCGATGAAGCGCAGGTGCTCGGCGGTCGTGTCGGGCGACGAGTACACGGCCGCAGAGAAGAGCGCGGGGCCCTTGAGCGTCGCGGGAGGTGTGACGGGAGGAGGCGTGCGCGAGGTCGAGGTCGAGGTCGAGGGAGGGGACGGGGTCGAGTACAGGCCCGTGCCTTGCGAGCGGAAGTCCTGCACGCGCAAGTGGGTCAGTTTGGGAAGAACTCGCTCGACCTGCGAGAGCTGGACGTACAGGGATGCCTGCGCTGGTCGAGATGCCCGCGCCGACGAGGAGGACGGCGCGTTTCGAGCGGGCCACGGCGAGCGTGAGCGTGTCGAGGGCCTTGGCGGTGGCCTCGTCGGGTGCTGGTGCGCCTGCAGGCGGCAGCGACACGGTGTGCATCCTCGTCGAGGGAGGTCGGAGCGAGACGAGACGAGGCGCGACGGGCACATTGGACGCGTCTCGTCAACAAACTGCGAGACCTCTGCTTTCTTGGACGGCTCTCACTGTTCACCGCACCCCTTTACTCTCGCTCGCCTTTGAAGGGAGACCATTGCGAGAAGCGGGCGAGGCGAAACCGCCCGGTTTCGAGTTGGACGCGGTTTGCTAAGGACGAATACAACCGGGCAAAGCGCGACTTAAGAAAGCTGCGCCCGAGTTCGAGAGCTTGCTTAGTACCGAATAGTCGATCAAACGCTAAGTAGCGTCGGCGTCGGAGCCGGGAGTCCGGGGGCAAGTCGTGGGCGTCGGTCGAGGCTTGCTCGCGTTCTCTCGTCCCGACCACGAGCTGCCCGCTCAGCCTGCACCTCGCCACGCTGCACAGCTGCACGCCATGGACGATGGCAGAGCCCGACGGCGACCCGCCGACCCGCCCCCGGCCCTCTCGTTCGTCCTTCAAGCTCCTCCCGCCGACGGCGCTCCCCTCGCCCGCCGTCCCGCATCCCCTGCTGCATCAGTGCACCTCCCGTCGCCGTCGCCCTCCCGGTCTACATCCGCCAAGCGCGCGCCCTCGAGCGCACGCCGAGCCTCGAGCGAGAACCATCGCCACGCTCCGGGCGAGACGGCGCGAGACGAGCGCGACGGCGCCAACGACGGCGACGGCGGCGACGCCGCCGAAGAGTCGCTCGCCGACTGGATGGCGCGGTACCGCGTCGGCATGGCCGGCCCGAGCGACGAGACGCCCGTCCCTCCTCCCGCCATCCGCGCCATCCTCGAGGGCCGCGACAACCTGAGCCCGTCGGCGTCGTCCGGCCGCGAGAGCCCCTTGTCGCTCGGCAGCGTCGAGTCGCCCCGCAGCTCGGTGTCGTCCCTGCCGTCCATCAACTCGCTCACGGCGGCCTCGCTCCTCGACTTCTACCGCCGCAAGGGCCACTTTCCCGCTCCGCCCGGCCCGTACGAGGAGGAGCGCCTGCGCCTCGCGCACAAGTACGGGCTCGACCAACCTGTACGCCGCAAGGCCATCGACCGCATCTGCGCCCTCGCCAAGGCCTACTTTCGCACCCAGAGCGTCGTCATCAGCCTGTGCGTCGCCCTTTCCCTTTCTCTCTCTCCCCCTCGCCTCGCGCGAGCGTTGCCCCGCGTGCAGCAGAACGCGAAAATGACTTTGTCTTGTCCGACTCGCAGCACGTTCGACGACCACCAGGTCCTCGGCGCCGAGCGCGGGTGGGGCGGTGACGAGCCCGGTCTCGACGTGCCGCCTCGGCCGCTCACGATGGAGCCCGCGTTCTGCACGCACGCCATGGCGGCGAGTTACCGCGACCCGAAGGCCGTCTTCATCGTCGGCGACGCCGACCAGGACTGGCGGTTCAAGAAGAACCCGTACACGATCGGCAACGGCGGCGGGCTCGCGTTCTACGCCGCCGCCAACGTGTCGCTGCCTGTCGCGCCCTCGTCCCGCAAGACGGTCGACGGCCTCACGCTCCCGGCGTCGCTGGCGTCCGGCGCGCTGTGCCTCATCGACCCGATACCTCGCGCGCCGTCCGACTTTGCCCCCGAGGACCGCGTCATCCTGGGCGACTTTGCCGAGATGATCTCGCGCGAGTTCCAGCTCGGCTTCGAGCAGCGCCGGCGCGAGCAGGAGGCCAAGCAGAGCGAGTTCATCGACTCGTTCTTGCGCAAGGCGCTCGTCCTCCCGAGCCAGGGCGAGGCGCTGCGCCCTCCAGAGCCGTCGGTCTCGCCCCCGTCGACCCCGACCGGCGCACCCACACCCGCCGCCGATGCTCCCTCAACGCCACCCGCCGCCTCGACCTCGAGCCCCGAAACCCTCTTCCAGCTCGCCGCCCGCCACCTCCGCATCCTCACCAACGCCGGTAGCGCCGCCATCCTCGACCTGCGCGCCCTGCGCACCTCGTCCGTGTACACGTCCCTGCACCACCCTCAGCAGCAGCACGCTCGCCACTACTTTTCCTCGTCGAGCACCAAGCCTGCGCCGAGCTCGCCGAGGCGCGACACGCTCAACCACGGCCCGGCGGGCATGCCGACGAGCGAGAGCCTCGGCAGCCACTTCTGGCGCGTCGCGGGCGAGACGTCGATGAACGGCGCGGCGCTCCCGACGAGCCCGACGAGCCCGCAGAGCCCGAGGAGCCCGTCGGGCCCGACCAGTTCGATCGGTGGACGGTCCACGACGGGCCCGTTGCCCGGTCGGGTGGCCCTCATGGGCGCCGAGGGCGACGTCGAGTGGCTGAGGGTGTTCGAGGAGGCGAGGACGAGCCGGCGGGAAGGCGCGCTCGCCCAGGCGACCGAGGAGGTGCTTCAGGCCTGTCAGGAGGTGCGTCCGCTTTCCCCTTTTCGATTCCTCGACCGAGCAACCCGCCTGACTCGGCTCACTGCTCGCAGGAGATGGCCTCAAGCCCCGAGAACTCGTTCGTCGACGCCGAGCCGTTCGCCGCCGCCAGCTTCCTCCCGCCGACACTCGCCTCGTCCTCAGCCTGCATCCCCGTGTTCGACACCGACGGCTCGCCGATCGTGCTCATCGTCCTCACGAGCGGCGAGAAATGGTTCTCGTTCGAGCCGACCGACCGCCGGTTCGCCGGGTCGGTCGGGGCCATCGTCGTCGGGTCGCTCCTGCGGCAGCGCGCGCTCGAGGCCGACATGGCCAAGCTGCGGTTCGTGAGCCACGTGAGCCACGAGCTGCGGACGCCGCTGCACGGCTGCAACTCGCAGATCGAGCTCATCCGCGAGTTTGCGTCGCCCGACGAGCTCCGCAAGCTCGCGCCCCTCCTCGACACGGCCGACGTCTGCCTCGAGTCGCTGTCGGACGTCCTCAACGACACGCTCGACTTCTCGAAGCTGTCGCAGTCGCTGTCGACGTCGCCCGAGGAGCAAGCCGAGTACCGCCGCCGCGCGTTCGTCGTCAGCGACCTCGGCGCGCTCGTCGAGGGCGTCACCAAGAGCACCTGGGTCCGAAAGCAGCGCGTCGACGCCGTCACGGCCGACCTGGCCAAGGTCGTCGAGGGCGAGAAGAACGTCGACCTCGTGCTCGAGCTCGAGGAGCGGGCCGGCGGCTGGCAAGCCATGATCGATGTCGGCGGCCTCAAGCGGGTCCTCCTCAACCTCGTCGGCAACGCGCTCAAGTTTACCGTCGCCGGCGAGGTCAAGATCTCGCTCAAGGAGGTCGGTATCCTGCCCGCACCGGCGCCGTCCACGCCCGGCGCGCTCCTCCCGCTCGAGCGGCGCCTCGTCTCGATCTCGGTCCGCGACACCGGCATCGGCATGAGCGACGACTTTATCCGCGCGAGGCGGTACCTCATCCCGTTCATCCAGGCCGACCCGTTCTCGTCCGGCGCCGGGTTGGGCCTCTCGAGTGCGTCCCTTTCCTCCTGCCTCTTCCTCTCCTCGTCCCCCTCGCCTCCTCATCCGAGTCTCTCACTGACTCAGACTCTCCTCTCGCAGTCGTCGACTCGATCGTCAAGCGCATGGGCGGCAAGCTCGACGTCGCGTCCCAGCTCGGCCTCGGCACGGCCATCACGGTCACCCTCCCCCTCGACTTCACCATCCATCACTCGAGCCCACTCGTCCCGCCCTCGCTGCCGCGCATCGTCCGCCGCAACATCTCCGAGGAGCTGTCCCGCCTGCTGCGCCCTCATCCGCACGAGCCCACGCCTCAGAGCTCGACGTCGACCTCGGCGCAAGCTGCGCCTCTCGCGCCAGGGCGTCAACGCTCGACGACGTTGTCGAGCGGCTCGGGCAACATCGCCGTGCCGGCGGGCCTCAGCAAAGCCGCGTCGCCGATCGAGGAGCTCAGCTTCGACGAGGCTGTGTCGGCCATGCACGCCTCGCTCGAGTCGCCGCACCCGTCCCCGTCATCGGCACCCGGCGACGCCAAGCGCACCAGACGCCCCTCGATGCGCCGTCTCGACGAGCCGCACCGCCAGGTCAGCGCTCGAGCGGTCGAGGACGACCTCGCGGTCGAGGCGGCCAAATTAAGCTTGAGCGGCGTCGGCGACAAGGCGCGCATCGTCACGCCGATGAAGGACCCACTTCTTCCGTCGCCGCCGCTCGAAGAACCGCCGAGCCCTGGGTTCCGCCGCAAGAAGGTCCGGGTGCTCATCGCCGGTGCGTCCTCCTCGTTCTTCTGTCTCCCTCCGACCGTCGACGAGACTGACTCGTTTACCATCGTCTCGCAGAGGACAACCCGATCGCGCGCAACATCCTCGTCAAGCTCCTCACGGGCAAGAACATCGCCTTCAGCGCCGCTGAGGACGGCCAGGAGGCGCTCGACCTTTTCCTCGCCGGCGAGGGCACGTTCACCCTGTTCCTGTGCGACGTCCAGATGCCTCGCATGGACGGCATCGAGGCGTCGACCCAGGTTCGCCGCGTCGAGGCCGAGCGCGGGTGGGAGCCGCTGCGCATCATCGCGCTCACCGGGCTCAGCAACGACGCAGAGATGCAGGCGGCGCTCGGGCAGAACGGGCCCGTCGACAAGTGGGTCGTCAAAGGCGGTCGGTCGCTGCGCATCATCCTCGAGGAGGTCGCCACGATGCAGCGGCTCCTCGACGAGGCCGAGGCGGAAGGAGCTTCGCCTCGAGTCTGATTCCCTCTCTCCCTCTCTCTCTTCTTCCTTTCTCGCCCGTCGCACATACTCTGTCGTACCCAGCATCCCCTGTGTCCTTATCGCATCGCATATCTGTCGCTCTGCCTGCAACTCGGTCGGTGGTTCTCTCCCTTTTCGACACCGCCGCGGCGGCGGCCGGCTCGAGCGAGTCCGCCTCTGTCGTGTACCGAGCCAGGGTCAGGCGTGAGAGCAAATGAGCGCCCCAGTGAGTGCAACGCAAGCCTGAGAGATCGCTCTCCTGTCGACGAGCCGCTCACTCTCGCCTCATCACTTCGAGTTGGCTCTCACCATCACTCTCGCCTCGACACCGCGAGCTGGTGCGTCGCAAAGATGCCCTCGGGCTCTGATAGCTCCAGCAGCGACCTCGAGATCATCGGCAGCAGCACCAGCCTCAGTGCGCGCCGCCTGGCCCCCACCTCGTCCAACCTCGCCTTCGCCAACCCTTCCTCCTCCACACGCGGCCCAGGTCCCGCCCCGGCAGCACGTTCCTTCGGCACCAGCCCGCAGCGCCAGTCGGCCAGCAGCGCGCAGCCTGGCAGTCGGCCGGCGCCCGACGGCGCGAGCGGCTCGAGCCCGCAGGTGGGAGCGGCGGCGCCGGCAAGGGGCAGCAGGGGCAGCACGGTGCAGCAGGATGTGAGCAAGGGCAAGGGCAAGGGCAAGTCGGTCGAGACGATCGAGATCAGCTCGTCGGACGACTCGGACGAGGAGCGTCTTCCGCTGCCGAGCACAGTGCGTCCCCCTCCCTTCCTCCCTGTTCACGAGTCTTTCCCCCCTTGACCGCGCTCTATCCGTCCCGCAGCTCTCGCAGACGCGACCACGCCTGTTGGCCAAGCCGCAGCCGCGCTTCTCGCTCCCCCACCCCTCGACCGCCCATCGCCCTCGTCCGGTTCCGCGTCGGTCTGAGCCCGCCGCACGCTCCCTCGCCACCGTCACGCTGTCATCAAGCGGCAGCGAGGGCGACGACGAGAAGTTGTCCCGGCCGGTGGCAGCCGTGTCGGCGCGGCCGACCTCGTCGCAGGGCGCGGCCGCAAGCGGCACGACGAGGCCTGAAGACGGGCTGTCCGTCGGGCTTATCGTCCCTCGAGCAGCCGTGCAGGGGCAAGACGCAGCTCGAACGCGCTCGAGCCCTGCACCGGCCACGTCCACCCCTTCTCGAGACGCCGCGCGCCCGTCGACCTCGGCGCCGGAGAAGCATGCGACCACGTCGCAAGCGCATCCCTCTCCGGTCCTGAGCCGCCTACCTGCTTCTATCCGCAAGGGCGCCTCGAGGGCCGCCTCGCGACCTGGTACGACCGTCGTCGAGCCACCTTCCACCGTCGCCTCAACCTCGGCTCCCCGCACCTCCTTCCCTTCCCCTCGGCCACGCCTTCCATCCTCGTCGCAGCCTCGCGTTCGCGCATCCCCTCTCTCGCACACGAGCGACGCAGGACCAGTCCGCGCCTCGTCCCCTCCCGCCTCGGGCCAGCACGAGCCCGCTCCGTCAGCAAACCGGCTCCCGACCGACATCCTCAGCAAGTACGGCCTCGCAACGCCCTCGACGTCGTCGGCAGTGCCTCGAGCCGCTCTAGAACCTGCACGGCGTGCTCCCGCCGTGTCCAACGCGTCCGCCGCGCGAGCGACGTCGAGCGTCGAGTCGGACGTCGAGTTCGTCCGCGTCGGCCGCCTCGCCGTGCGGGCGTCGTCGAGCAGCGACCCGCAGCCCGACCCGCAGCCCGACCTGCAGATCGCGGCGCAGCCGCAGTCGCTCGCGCACGGGCGGGTCGCTACGGTCGCTCGCGAGTCGCCGAGCGAGGCAGCGCCGCGAGCGTCGCCGGGTCCGTCGGCCAAGCCGGTCGAGCTCGTCGGCCTGTCGGCTACGCCGCGTGCAGCAGAGCGGCTGCGCTCGGCAGCTGTCGGAGCCGGAGCGTCGTCGACGAGCAGCAGTGCCGCGCAGGCCTCCTCGGCCGCAGCAGCGGCTGTCGGCGGCCCTGCACCGGGTACGGCGGCAGCGTCGGTCGGCTCGGCCGGGACGAGGACGTCGCCGACAGTAGAGGACCAGGCGCGAGGAGGCGAGCGGGAGCAGCAGGAGGAGATCGTCGAGAAGCAGGAGCCGCCGTCCGTCCCGGGCCGCGCGGGCAAGACGGCGGCGGCAGCGGCGCCGGCGGCGCCCGGTCCGGGGCGTACTTCGCTCGACGCGGTCGCGTCGCACAAGCCCGACCCCGACGATCAGCTCGGCGCGACCGACGAGCTCGCCCAGCACGCCGCCGCAGCACCCGATCAAGTCGCTGCGACGGCCCGAGCGCCTCGCGCCGCAGCTGTCGTCGCGCAGCACAAGGACCCGAGCTCTCCAGGCGCCTCGCGCCCTGCGCACGCCGGCGCCGTTCCCGTCGTTCCTGCCTCCTCGACGGCGGTCGGCTCGGCTCGACAGCCGGCGCCGGTTGGAGGGCGGGCGAGCGAGTCGCGCCCGGTCTCGCGAGCAGGCGACTCGGACTCGCACATCCGCGAGGGCATTGTCGAGGACCAGGAGGACGGCGGCGAGAAGGGCCGAGGCGCAGCTGCCCTCGGCGGTACGGTCGGCGCGCAAGGTCGGCCGGCGCCGCACGTTCTCGACAGCCCGGCCTCATCTCGCGCAACCTCGCAGTCGTCGAGCACGGCTAGCGTCGCCCCGGCCCGGCTCAACACGGCGCGCAAGTCGACGGGAGGGCTCGTCCCTGGCGCCGCCCGTTCTCGCCCGGTCGCGCGCAAGTCGATGGGCTCGCGGCAAGCAGGCCCCGTCCAAGCTCCTTCGTCGGCGACCTCGTCGACTGGGTCGGCTTCTCCGGCCCCGTCCGTCCTGTCGCGCGGCGCCGGCACCGCGAGAAAGTCGACCGGCGGGCGACCAGTACGGGCGCCTGCAGCCCCAACGCGCTCGAGCACATCGACGTCCTCGTCGTCATCTCTCTCGTCCGCATCCTCCTCGGACGCAGGCGACTCGGACTCGAGCGCGTCGGCTCCCGCCCGCGCCGGGGCCGCTCCTCCACGCCCACCCGAGCGCGCCGTCGCATCCTCGAGCCTCGCCCTCCCGGCTCCCGAGATGCCCAAGGGCTCGCTCCCGACGTCGACTGCTCGGCGTCCGGTCACGGGCCGCAAGTCAAACGGTGGACGTGCCCCAGTCGCGCCGTCCCGCAGCGCGCACTCGGCCGAGCCATCCTCTGCAGCGCTCCCGGCCAAGCGCAAAGGTCCGCCTTCACCGGCGTCGTCCACGACGAGCACCGACGCGCCGCAGAAGAAGCGTCGACGGTACGCCGACGACGAGATCGTCACCGCCGACGCCGCCAAGGAGCGCGAGCAGCTCGGCTTGAGCCGTCGCCTGCGCAAGAGTCGTTCGCGAGCCGGCGAGGTCGTCGTCGAGCAAGCCGAGCCGCTCGTTCTCGAGCCCGACACGGCGGTCGCCGTCGGGATGGGCGACCAGGGCAAGGTCGACGACATCGAGGACAAGATCGAGCAGGTGCGCCTCCTTTTCCCTCCTTTCTCGACCTTGGACGGACCGACCCTGACACCTCGCCTCCTACAGTTCAAGCGCATTGAGGCGAGCGAGCGACCCTGGAACCGCCTCATCGCCGGCCCGTCGTACAACCTCGACGCCGAGTTCGATATTACGATCCAGAACGAGGTCAACCGGCGAGAGCGGCGGTGGGCAAGGCGGCACCCGGACAAGCACCTGTTGCGCGAGAGCTACAAGACCCTGTTCGAGCTCATGATCCTCGAGGCCAACGCCAAGGAGTACTCGCCGCACCGACCCGAGCGCCGGCCCAAGATTCGTGTCCTGCCGCCGACCGGCCAGAGCGCGCACCACTGGTCGAGCCCGCCGTTCGAGTTCATCTACACGAACCGGTACGTCCCTCACTCCTCTCGTCTCCTACCCCTGCGTGTCGTCACTGACTCGAGCGCACCTGTCCGCAGCGTCATCTACTCGGACGGCATCTGCCCGGTGCAGGCGCCCGGGTGCGGGTGCAAGGGCAACTGCGGCTCATCGTCCAACAGGGCCAAGTGTGCCTGTCGCCGGCGCCAGATCGAGTCGTCGACTACCCGTCCAGGCGGCGTCGAGCGCTCGGGCCACCGCGACTTTGCCTACGACGACGGCAAGCTCGTCGACGTCGTCTTCAACCGGCTCGAGCCAATCATGTGCGTCCTCGTGCCGCCCTCTTTCTTCGGCTGGATGGCGAGAGAGGCTCACCACCTGCCCTTGCGCAGCGAGTGCAACTCGGAGTGCGGGTGCGGGCCCGAGTGCGTCAACCGGGTGCGCCCGACCTTCCTCCCTCTCCCTCTTTGCGGCCGAGACTTACCCTCGTCCTCATGGTGCGCACAGATTGTCGGGCTGCGTCCAAGCGTGAGCGTTGACATCTACCACACGGGCCAGAACGGCTGGGGTGCGTCCCCTCTCTCTCTCTCGACCGATCTTCTGCCCTGCCGAGTCAATGACCCCTCCTCTCCCTCGCACTGCTGCAGGTGTGCGGCTTGCGCCGACGTACAAGAACGAGCTCGGCGAGACGCACGTCGCTCGCGTCATCGAGCGCGGCGAGCCCCTCGCCATTTATGCCGGTGCGCTCTCGCTCTCTTTTCCCTCGTCCACATCCCGATCTTTACGACCTTTCATCCCTGCAGGCGAGCTGCTCCGCACGCCTGACGCTGTCGCCCGAGACGAGTGCGTCCACTCGCTTCGTCGACGACCGCCCGTCGCTCACCTTGCCTTTCCTCGTGCTGCAGCCTCGTCTACTCGTATTTGAATCGGACCTACATCTACGATCTCGACAGCTGGACGAGTACGTCCTTGACTGTCTCTCTCCTCGGTCCCTTTGCCCTCGTCGGCGCCGCTCATTGACGTGTCGACCTTGCCGCAGTTCCCGAGGACATCCAGGCGCTCGCTCCCCTCAACGCGCCGAGCCAGTCCGACATCGTCCAGAAGGACAGCTCACACATGTCGGCCGAACATGCGGCGCCGTCGAGCAAGGGCAAGGGCAAGAGCAAGAGCAAGAAGAAGCCGACGCCGGCGCCGGCCGAGGAGGTCGACAACACGCCCACCTTCTCGTCGCTCTACTCGATCGACGCGTTCAACGTTGGCAATGTGCGCCCCACTCTCTCTCCTTCGTCCCTCGGAGCTCTCGACTGACCCTCTTCCTCGCAGTGGACCCGGTTCGCCAATCACGTGTGCGAGGGCTTCAACGTCGCGCCGAGGCCAGTCTACGTCGACGACGGCGACGTTTCGCGGCCGCTGTGGGTCTACTTTGCCCTGCGCGACATCATGGTGCGTCCCTTGTCCCTCTCGACCCCTCCCCTTGCACGTTCCTCCTAAACGCGCTCACCTCTCTTTCTCTCTCGCGTGCCCGCCTGCAGCCCGGCGAGGAGATTAACATCTCGTACGCCGGCGAGGAGGAGCCAGACCCGTCGGCGTGGGGCTACACGCGTGCGCAATGGAGGGCGGCGGCCGACAAGTCGCGGCGCGAGGCGGACAAGGCGCACCGATGCTACTGTGCGTCCTCTCTCTCTCTCTCTCTCTCCCCCTCGACGAGACTCGTGACTGACTGTGTGCGACGCGTTGCGCAGGCGGCAAGCCGCTGTGTCGAGGGCGCATGTTCAACAACGACGAGGCCGCGTTCTGGGAGAGGGGAGACGGGCTCGCGCGCTCGTGAGGGCGGCACTTTCTCGCAGTGTGTTTACTACCTTGTTGTCTATCCTATGCAACCCGCCGCACTGTTTGCTCTCGTACTGGTCGATCAAGGATCGTTGGCGCGTGCGCAGAGCGAGCGAGCCGCCATCTCTCTGTGCGCCGTCACCGCCTCGCTTCTCGTCCCTCGCTCGCTGTGGGACCTGTGCGACTAGCTCTAGGGCACCCACACCCCTCTGTCGACCGCCCGCAAGCCTCCACACCCTCCCACGATGAGCTACTACTCGTCTGGCTACGGCCAACCCCAGCCCGCGTCGTCGTCCTCGGCGCAGCTCGACCCGAGCGTCTCGTTCTACTCGGGCGGCGGCCAGCCCTCGTTCTACTCGGAACAGCCCGCCCACGCGTCGCACGGCCCGCGCAACGACATCTCGGGCGCGATTGGCGGCGGGGCCGGGGCAGCTGGCAGCGGGGCAGGAGCAGGAGCAGGAGCCGGCGCAGCGTTCGGCGGGCAGATCGTCGTGCAGAACTGGTGGAACGCTTTCACGCCCTGGACTGGCATGGAAGGCGAGCCGCCTTTGCTTGAAGGTGCGCACCTCGTCCCCTCCCTCTCCTCGTCTCACTCGGGTCGGGCTCACCGCGAATCCTCCCCACACAGAGCTCGGCATCAACTTCGACCACATCCTGCAAAAGTCGCTCACGGTCCTCAACCCGCTGCGGACGGTCGACCCGCACATCATGGACGACGCCGACCTCGCCGGCCCGCTCGTCTTCTGCTTCGTCTTTGCGTCCTTCCTCCTCCTCGTGCGTCCCCTCCCCTGCTCTCTCGAGACTCGTTGAGAACGTGAGACTGATACCTCGTCCTTGCGCAGTCGGGCAAGCCCCAGTTCTCGTACATCTACGGCGTCGCCCTTATCGGCTCGACGGCGATGTACTGCCTTCTGAACCTCATGTCGGAGAGCGGCATCGACGCGTACCGCACGGCATCGGTCCTCGGGTACTGCATCTTGCCTCTCGTCCTCCTCAGCATGTTCTCGGTCGTCCTCAGCCTCGAGTGCGTCCCTCTCGTCCGCCTCCCCTCTGCCGTTCTCGAGCGCGAACTGACCTTTCTTTGCGTCGCGCAGCGGCATGCTCGGCTACATCTTGTCGAGCCTGAGCGTTCTGTGGTGCTCGTACTCGGCGTCGAGCATCTTCTCGTCCGTCCTACACCTGTCGCATCAGCGTTTCCTCGTCGGCTATCCGGTCGGGCTCTTGTTCGTCCTCCCCTTTCCTCCTCTCCTCTCGCTCGAGCCACAAGGGACTGACTCGGCGTCCAACGCAGATACACCGCGTTCAGCCTCTTCGTGTTCGAGGTCGAAAAGGTCAAAAAGTAGCCTCGCGACTTGCAGTTCAAAGCCACTTTTCCTCTCGAGCAATCGACGAGAGAGACAGAGAGAGCGAGAAAGATAAGACGAGGACGTGTTCCAGCCGGTACAACAACATCTCGACGCGAGAGAGAGAGAGAGACGACCCGAGAGACCAGACGAAAGAGACCCGCCGCCCTACGCGAGCCTCCTAACGCCCTCCTGCCCGCTGCGGATGTCGGCCGACGCGCCGTCTGCAACCCTCCTGCCCTCGATGCGCTTCTGCCGCTTGACCTCGGAGCTGAAAGCCTCCTTGGTGCCCTTCTTCTCGACGCGGCGCGCGGCGCGCTCGGCCTTGACGGCCGCTTTGCGCGCCTTCTTGTCGTCGGTCGCCTCGGCGCGAGGGCGCTTGATGACCTCGCGAGGGACTGCGTGCGGCGAGAAGAGTCAGTCGCCGCTCAAGAGAGAAGGCGAGAGACTAAAAGCGAGCGAGGGACGCACCGTAGTCCTCCTCGTCCTCCTCTTCCTCCTCGTCCTCCTCCATGACGGCGTCCTCCTGCTCCTCCTGCTGGCCCTTCTTGCCCCTCCTCGGCCGCGCATCGAGCACGCTGACGCCGTCGACGGTCGGGAAGCCCGTCTTGGGGTCGATCTTGATTTGGGCCGCGTGCGGGCGCCCGTTCGAGCCCGAGTTGGACCCGCCCGTGCGCCCAAAGTCGCGCAGGCGCAGCATGCGCGGGTGGTTCGACAGGTTCGAGTAGGTGCCTGCGTGCACGTGAAAGGGCGTGGTCAGTACCACGTCGAAGAAAGGGGGAGAGAGAGAGAGAGAGAAAGAGAAAGCAGGGACGCACTGAGGACGGTCTCGCAGTCCCACCGGTCGCGCCTCGCCTCCTCGAGGATGGTGACGCGTGGCACCTTCCTCGCGCCGCCCTTGTCGGCCTCCTCGTCCTGGCGCTCGACGATGGCGAGGATGCGCTCCTTCTCGCGGCGGCGCGCCGTCACCTCGGGGTCCTCGCCCTCCTCCTCGTCGCCGAGGTCGAGCCGGGCCATCTCGTGCCGCAGACGGTCGAGCCTCGACGCGTTGGCGCTCAGCGACGCGTCCTCGGCGCCGCCCGAGCCGTGCAGGGGCGCGAGCGCCGGGCGGAACTTGCCGCCGATGACCTCGTACTTGGACAAAAAGTCGTCCATGATGCGCTCGAGGTCGGCGCGGGCGGCGCCTTGCGGCTCGAGGGCCGACTCGTCGTCCGAGCCCGAGTGGTGCGAGCCGCCCCACGAGTCGTCGTCCGACTCGTCGTACAGCTTCTCGATCTGCGGGTGGTGGGCGAGGGGGCGAGAGGGTCAGGCACGTCGCACACGAGAATAGAGAGAGAAAAAGAGAGAGAGAGAGAGCGGGTGCGCACCTGGTCAAACTGCTCGTCGAGCGTCTGGAGGCCCTTGTTGCGCACCATGGCCGAGCTGCTCATCGAGAAGGCGCTCATGCCGCCGTGCGTGAGCGCCTTGCGCGCCGGGCGCTTGGTCATCGACGCCCGCAAGGCGCCGATCGTGTCGCCGCCCTCGGACGCAAAGTCGTCGTCGGTCGCGACCTCCTCGTCGTCCGACGCGAGCTCGGGGCGACCGGCGCCGCCGGCCGCCTGAAACGCCTTGACGGCGGCCCACGAACCCTCGCCCTCGCCCTCGTCGTCGCCGCCCTGCTCTGCGCCGAGCTGGAGGCCTCGCACGCCCGCCGCCGCTCCGTCGACGCCCTCGTCGTCGTCCCACTCCTGCTCGCGCGCGCTCGACACCTCGCCGCCTTCGAGGACGCCGCCCCAGAACTCGTCCTCGTCGTCGGTGCCGGTGCCGTCGTCGGCGGCGTAGGCCTCGTCGTCGAGGGCCTCGAGGACCTCGCGCACGCTCGGGTCGAGGTCGGGCTGGAGGCCGCGCGTGGGCGCCTTGGACGCCATGACGTCGGCGTAGGGGATCTCGTCGAGCGGGTGCGAGGGGAGGGCGTCGTCGGGCATCTCGAACTGGCCCTGGTCGCGCGCGTCCTGGCGGGCGAGGGCGGCCTCGCTGAGCTGGAAGCCGCCGGCGTCTGCGCGCTTGCCCTTCTGCTTGTTCTGGACGGGCGCCTCGACGAGGTAGGCGTCGCCCGAGTTGGCGGCGCCGACCGAGCGCAGGTGCTGCAGGTAGTCGTAGTCGTCGGCGTCGTCGTAGAAGATGCCGTACGCGGCGGCGTCTCCTGCGGCGAGGGCGGCATCGTCGAGGTCGTCGGCGACGGGTGCGGGGCCGCCGGCGTCGCTCGCGGCGTACGACGTGACGCCGTCGGCGTTCTTGCGCTGCGAGATCGGGGTGGGGCGAGGGTCAGCCGGGGAGGGCAAGGAGAGCGAGACAGAGAGGGGAGACGGAGACGGACCTTTTGACCCTTGTCGACGAGCTTGAGGACGCGGTCGGATGCGGTCGGGTCGTTGATGAGCGGGTCACGCTGAGAGCGATGGACGAGCTGGAAGGTCTTTGTGCCCGGGCGCTTCCACAGGGAGGGCGCCATGGTGGGTGGTAGATGAGGAGCGAGGGGAGGGGTGGCTCGAGGTGAGGCGAGCACGGGGCGGGTTGGTCGGTGGTGGAGGAGGTCGGTGGCGGGTGTGCGAGTAGGTGTGGGTGTGCAGCAGTGGCACTTGGCGGTGAGCGGGGCGAGGGAGAGGCTGTTTAAGATGAGCCATCGAGCTCGAGTCGCCTCGGGTGCGTTCAACTGATGACAACCTCGCTCTCGCTCCCAACGCTCTCAAGCGCATGCTACGCGCCTGGCTGCGCAAGCTCGTACCCGCCATGCCCCAGCCACACGACCCGGCCCGCGCAAAGCTCGTACAGCAGATCGCCAACCTCCAACACCGCCTCGCCCAACTCGACCTCGCCTCACCCTCCTCTAGCTCCACAACAGAGCCCGAGACCGACCAGGCGACCCCGCCACCCAAGCCCATCCTCACCGGCAAGCGCGCCCGCAAAGCCGCCAACCTCCACAACCGCCAACCTCTTCCTCCTTCGCTTGCCAACGCTCCAAAGCGCCACATCGCCCTCCTCTTCTCGTCCGTCCCTCTTCTTTCCTGTCCATTCTCGCCCCCAAGGCGACTACTGACACCCGCTGTCCACAGGTACGAGGGCTGGGCTCACTCGGGCCTCGCGTACCAGCCCAAGGGCGTCTACACCCCGCTCCCGACCGTCGAGGGCTGCCTCCTCGACGCCCTCGAAAAGTCGCGCCTGATCGAGCCCATCGAGGAGTCGGACGGCTTCGGGTGCGGCTTCGAGCGCTGCGGCAGGACCGACGCCGGCGTCTCGTCGTCGGCCCAGGTCGTCAACCTCTGGGTCCGCAGCGACCTCGACGACCCCATGCTCGAGCGCACCCGCAACCTCGACCCCGAATCGGTCGAGGCCAGGCGCCACGAGCGCGCGACGTCTCGCTCGCGGTCGAGGTCGCGCTCCAACTCGGCCTCGTCGTCGTTGTCCGCCCTCAGCTTCGACCTCTCGCCGCGCAAGCCCCCGTCCGACGTCGAGATACCCTACATCACGCTCATCAACCGTCACCTCCCGCCCTCGATCCGCGTCCACGCCTGGTCCCCCGTCTCGGCGTCCTTCTCGAGCCGGTTCAGCTGCATCTGGCGCCACTACAAGTACTTCTTCTCGACCTCCCCTTCCCTCCCTCTTCTCGCCACGGCCCGCCAGTTCGACTTTGGCGCCGCGTACCGCGCAGTCGGGTACCCGCCGCACGCCGCCGCCGCCGCCTCGTCGTGGCAGGACCGCCTCGGCGCCGTCGACTGGCACGGGCTCGAGCTCGACGTCGACTTGATGCGCGACGCCGTCAGCCGCCTCGTCGGCGAGCACGACTTTCGCAACTTCTGCAAGGTCGACCCGCCAAAGCAGCTCGCGATGCACGTGCGCACCGTCAACAGCGCCACGATCGACAAGGTCGACGGCGAGGGCGACGACCTGTACGTGCTCAACCTGCGCGGCGGTGCTTTCGTGCGTCCCGATCTCTCTCTCTCTCTCTCTCGTCGTCGTCCAAGACAAATCGAGACTGACCTGGACTGCCCCTTGCAGCTCTACAACCAAGTGCGCCACATCGTCGCCGTCCTGTTCCTCGTCGGCGCGCGCCTCGAGCCGCCCTCGATCGTCGACGCCCTCCTGTGGACCTCGGACCGCACCGAGGACACGATACACATGCACACGCCGCCTCCCGGCGTCGACCGCGAGGTCCTCGACCGCAAGCCGGGCTACCAGATGGCCGACGACCTGCCCCTCATCCTGTGGCAGTGCGGCTTCAACAGCTCCGAGTTCTCGTGGCGCACCGACAACGCGACTCGACCCGGTGACCTCGCGCCCGACGTCGAGCGGCAGCTCGCCTCGGCCGGCCTCGCGACCGACCACAACGGGCGCGACCGCCCGAGGGTGCGCGAGGGCGACACGTTCGCCAAGATGTTCCTCGACATGAACGAGCGCTACACCGAGTACCGCCTCAAGGCGCTCGTGCTCAAGCACCACCTCGCGAGCTTTGCGTTCCTCGCGCCCTCGCCACCTCCTCCTCCTCCCGCCGCCATCGGCGACCCGACCGCCTCGTCCTTGTCCGCCCCCTCTCCTCGCCCGCCACCCTCGTCCGCCAGCCCCTCGATCCGCCTCACCCCCCTCGGCGCCGCCCTCCACGCCCGCACCACGTCGTACACGCCCCTCCTCTTGCGCCCGCGCTCCGAGCTCCCCGAGACGCTCAACGCCCGGTGGGCCGCCGGCCGCGGCGCGCAGCGCATGCAGCGCCGCCGCGACAACCAGGACGAGAGCGACAAGGTGCGCGAGGTCAACCTGCGCATCAAGGCCGACGCGATCGAGCTTGCGAGGAGGACCGAGCAGGAGAGGCTCGAGCGCGGCGAGCGGCGCGACGAGGAGGCGGCGACGAGCGGGACGGGCGACGGGCAGGGCGAGCAGGGTGCGCAGGCGCAGCAGGCGCAGCAGGAGGGCAAGTCGTGAACGAGAGGACGATGTCTTTGGCAGAACGAGGTCGTTGTTGCAACGAGGACCTAGCGACAAAGAGGACACGTGCGCGCGCCGACGAGGAGAAGGGGTATGCTGCAAGTGCGAGAGGAGGTATGGCACAGAGAGAAAGGGTAATAAAGATCGAGGGCGAGAGGAGAGGGTGGCGAGGAGGAAGGGAGAGGGAAAGGAAAGAGAGGGCTCAAAGCTCTCGGCGCCGAGCCGGCGTCGACGGCGCCTGACCGTCCACGACGGCGTCGAGCCTCGGCCTGCGAGCCGTCGACACCGACGTCGAGGCGGGCGCAGAGGCAGGCGCCGACGTACCGAGCGTGCTCGGCGTGCGGCTGTGCCTCCTCGAGGCGAACGACGACGACGGGCTGTCCATCGCTCCGCCCCCTCTCCTGCTGCCGCCGACGACGGGTACCGTCCCCGCCGCACTCTCCGACACGCTCCTCCTCGCGCTCGCTCTCCTGCCGAGCGCCGCAGCGCCCGGACCTGCTCCTCCCGCTCCTCCCCTCGCGAGCGCCCTCCTCGCCTCGTCGCGGCTCGCCTCAAACTCGGCGACGAGGCTCCTCGCGAGCTGTCGGCTCAAGACGGCCTTGTCGTCGCGCGCGATGCGGGACACGGGCGCGTCGAGGATCCGCACCGCCTTGTCGCGGTCCCGGCGGCCGTCGGCCATCGCGCTCGAGGGCGCAGCGAGCGAGTCGTAGACGGTCTTGGTGATGCGCAGGAGGTTGAGGCGGACGAGAGCTTTCGAGGCGCGCTCGAGACGCTCGACGAGGCGCTTGAGGAAGCCGCTCTGGACGGCGAGCGAGGCGGCAAGGACGGGCGAGGTGCGCAAGATCTGCGAGAGGGACGAGCCGGTGCGGCGAAAGAGGTGAGCTCGACGAGTGAGAGGGGCCGAGAGAAGGAGAAAGGAGGGGACGCACCTTGTGAAGAGGCTCGAGGAGGTTGTCGAAGACGGTGCTCTTGGTCCGGCAGAAGAGGCGCACGAGCGCGTCGACGGCGGTCTGCTCGAGGAGGCACTGACCGACCCGGATCGGCTCGTCTTGCAGCCTGTGGACGACACGAGTTAGTGATCGTCGAATGAGGGTGCGCAGGAAGAGAGAGGGAGAGACTGTGACGCACCAGACGAGAATGGCCTCGAGAGCCGGGTTGACCCAGAAGGCGTCGGTGAGCAGGCGCAGGTACAGCGCCATGCCGTCGTGCTGCCACAGCCTGTAGGTTTCTCGTCTGTCAGTGTTCGGTCGACGAGGAAGAGAGAGAGAGGAGAGGGAGCGAGACGACGCACAGCCTCCTTGTCGCCTTGCCCGCATGCGCGCAGTCGCACAGGACGGGGAGCGCAAACTGCTTGAGCGGCGAGTTGTCGCGGACGATCTGCTGCAGGAGCGGGATGGCGCCTGCTGCTGCCGCCTCGGCTTGACGAGCTTTGCTGAGCCGGCAAAGGTTGAACAGGGCGTTGACGGCGTGGTTCTGGATCTCCTGCAGGTTGGCGACGAATCAGTGACAGGGCCCGGGCGCAGAACCGGCGAGAGATAAAGAGAGAGAGAGATTTGGGACGTACTGCGCCGAGGCGGCCCCGATACGTCTGCCCGAGGAGCGAGACGAGCATGCCGATCGTGCCGGCCTGCTGGAGCGGGTCGAGCGCGGCCGGCAGCATCGACAGGTTCTTGACCGTCTTGAGCAGGATGGCGAGAAGGTCCGGCTCGAGGACGTTGGCGGCCTTGACGAGACCTGCGGGCGCGAGTGGGGAAGAGTCGGCTGCGGGGCCGGACGTGTTTGGGAAGGACGAGGAGGGTGGACGCACGAACGAGGATCGACCGGCGCGCCATGGCCTCCTTGACCTTGTGGTCCGACTGGGCGAACAGGAGCAGGACGTGGACGATCTTGGCCTTGGCGCTCTCGGCGAGGTCGTCCGGGTCGCCGCAGACGGCGAGGAGCGCGTTCGAGAGCGGGTCGAGGAGGCCCTCCTGCGTCAGGATGCGGCAAAAGTCGTTGCGCGGTGTCGGGCCCTGTAGGCGACGAGTGAGTCAGTGGCTGTTCGAGTGAGGCTGGGCGAGGTGAACGGTGCCGCGCACGTTCATCTCGAAGACTCGGCAGACGCCGTCGACGGCCATCCAGATGAGGTCCTTGCTCTCCTCGTCTGCTCGGTCGACAGAATCAGTGATCGGACGCGTCGAGAGAGAGAAAGAGACAAGCCGACGCACAGTCCTCGTCCAGCATCTCGACGAGCGTGCGCAGGCCCTGGCACGAGACGAACATCTGCAGCTGTGACGGTCACAGGCGAGAGTCAGGTCTTGCGACGACGGCGAGGCGGACAGAGAGAGGTGGGCGCACCGTCAAGAGCGAGGTGCGGCACATGGCGCCGATGAAGAGGGCCGCCTCGAGGCGGATCTCGCGCGGGAACCGGCGCGAGGCGAAGCTGACGACGACAGGGCAGCCGCCGATGAGCTGTGGGACCTAGAGTGTCAATGAGGCGTCGTGAGGCTCGAGAAGGAGGGAGCGACAGTGGACGCACGGCGACCTTCTCGAGCGTGCTCGGGTCCGAGCCGACGATCTGCGAGCGCGAGACGAGTCAGGTCCTGCTCTGTCGACCAGACGCACACAGATAGAGAGGACGCACAAGGTTGACCACACGCAGCAGGACGCTCAGTCCCTCGCGAGACCTGGCGACCCGCAGCGCCTCGAGGATGACGAGCACGCCGTGGCACTTGAGGAAGTGGGCCCGAGCGTTGAGCGAGTCCTCGAGGAGCCCGACCTGCATAAGGACGATCGTCAGTTCTGCACAATGACGAAGAGACAAGTGAAAGGAGGGACGCACCAGTTGCAGCGCCGCCTCGAGCACCTCGGGCCCATCGCCGTCCCGCTCTCGCCTGCTCCCGCCGCCCAGACCGACCGCCGCCGCCGCGCCCGACACGGTCTCGACGAGCTCGCCGACGAGGGCGCACTGTCGTGCGAGCTGATCGCGCTCGAGGTCGGCGGCGCTGTACTCGAACAGGCCCGCGTCGGCGCCCGAGCCGGCGTCCGCGAGCGCGACCGAGAGGGACGACGCGTCGTCGAGCGCGAACGGGTCGTCCTCGTCCGAGTCCTCGTCGCCGAGCTGCGGAGGTGACGCGGTGCGTCAGGGCGGGGAAGAAGAGGCGAGAGGACTGGAAGAGAGGGGAAAAGGGCGGACGCACCCACGACCGGCTCGACAGGCGCGTGTTGAGCTTGAGGCTCCCGTCCGTCTCTGCGAGCACCGAACTCGTCAATACGTGTACCCCGACCCTGCTGTATCGACGCTCAGGCAAAGAGAGGCAGCGCGCGACGCACCGACACCGCTCCTCCCCCAGCTCGCGCCGCCGCCGGCAAACACCTCGTCGTAGTCGTCCTCATCGTGCTCGGTGTACTTCTCGATCGCGCTCGGCGTGCGGCTGTGACCTGGGCGCACGGGTTGAGGTGGCGACGAGGCGGGCGAGCTGAGGGCCGAGTGCGAGAGGGCGACGAGGTCCGAGGGTCGGAGGAGCTGAGGGCGGGCGGCAGATTTGGCCTGCGCGACAGGGAAGGACGAGGATCAGTACGTTGAGCGCGTCGTGCTCGACAAGGCGAGGAGAGAACAGGCCCGGCGCACCTTGAAGCTGCTGACCCGGAGCGCGAACGCGTCCCCTCGCCCGCCCTCGCCGTCCTCCTCCCCACCGAGCAGGTCCGAGTAGTCCTCGACGATCTGGCCCAGCGGCACACCTCCCGCTCCTCCTGCCGCACCCGCCTTGCCCCTGCTCGCGCCCGCCGCGACCGGCCGATTCGGCCGAATCGTGAGCGAGTTGCCCTGCCACCCGTCCTCGCCCGCACCCTCGCCCTCGCCGTCCTCCTCAGACGACGCCGCCCTCGCCGACGCCTCGCTCGCCGACCCGGCCGGCGACGCCGCGACGGCGTGGATCTTGCCGACCGAGATGCCCTCCTCAAAGTCGCTGTCCCAGTTGTCGCTGTCGCTGTCGCGCTCGGCGGCGCCGGCGCCGGCAGCGAGAGAGGCGGTGCCGCTGTCGAGTTCGAGCGAGAGAGGCGTTGAGGAGGACGAGGGGTGGGCGAGCGCAGGGAGGGCGGCGGTCGAGGAGGAGGACGAGGGGTGCAGGAGCGCGCTCGCGAGCGAATGTGCAGCAGGGCTCGGCGCGGTCGAGGGCGAGGGCGAGGTTGCGGCTGAGAGATGCGGCGATGCGGAGGAAGACGAGGAGGAAGGGTGGGCGAGCGCTGCGGCGCCGCGAGGTCGGAGAGGAAGGCGAGGGGCAGGAAGGGCGGTCGGCGCGCGAGGTGCGGCGGGGTTGGCTGTGCGCCGTCATGGTCAAGTAGTCAGTAGTCTGACACAAGGACAGAAACACCTGACGACGAGAGGAACAGGCGGGCGCACCTCTGAGCGCCTCGTTCCACTCCTTGACGACGCGCACCTCGTCCTCGTACGTGCTCGCCGGCCTCGCCGCCCCGCTCGTCCGCTCGTCCCGCTCCTCGTTCCCTCGTCCACTCGCTCCTGCCCTCGCGCCCCTGCCGCCGCCGCCGCCGCCGCCGTCGCCGTTCGTCGCTCGGGCCGCCGCCTCCCGCGCGTCGCTCTCCTCGCGCTGCGCGTCGGCCTGGCGCTTGGCGGCGACCATCCACGGGTGGCGCAGGAGCTTCCTCGCGCCGACGCGCAGGTTGCCATCCTTCTGGAAGCACTGGGCGAGAAAGTCGCGCACGCCGGCGCTCGCGCCTGGAGGGAGCGGTGGGCCATCTGGGTCGTTGACGATGCGGAACAGGGCCGGCATCGGGTCGAGGTGGTGGTACGGGGGTTTGCCCGTCAGGAGCTCGACGACGAGGGCGCCGAGGGACCAGATGTCGCTCGAGGGGGACGCGCCCGACTGGTCGACGACCTCGGGCGCCATCCAGTACGGCGAGCCGACGACGGACGAGTCGGGGAGCGAGCCGACGCGGGTCGCGACGCCAAAATCGGCGACTGTGGATGTGTGCGCCGAGCAAGGGCGACAAAGGGAGGGAGAGGGAGAGGGGCGAGAAAGAGTCAGATCCGGCTCGACGAGGAACTCGAGAGAGGGAGATGGGTTCGACGCACGCTTGATGCTGCCCTCCTTTGTGGCGAGGATGTTGCTGCCCTTGATGTCGCGGTGGATGACGCCCTGGTCGTGCAGGTACAGGAGGCCCTGGAGGACCTGGAGCGTGTACAGGCCCACGAGCGACTCGGGGATGCGGCCAAACTTCTTGATGATGGCCGACAGCGAGCCGTTCTCACAGTACTCGAGGACGATGTAGAGCGACGTCGAGGTGCGGGCGTAGCCGCGGTACTGGACGATGTTGGGGTCTGTTGGAGCGTGGGTGCGTCAGGCGAGGCGCGAGGAGGGAGCGGCCGACCGAGGTTCGTGCAAGAGAGACGCACGATGCAGGTTCTTGAGGAGGTCGATCTCGGACTGTGACGGGCACGGGAGAGTCAGTCGTGTGGCTGAGGGCGTGGAGGAGGAGGACGAGTGGGGCGCACCATGATGTCGGGCAGCTCGCTCTCGGGGATGTGCCGCAGGTCGATCTGTGTGGACGAACCGTGTGAGTCCTCATGAACAACATTATCGAGCGAGCGCAGCTCGTGGCAGGGCGCGACGAGCTGCACTCGCGTCGGGCGAGTCGCGAGGACGCACCTGCTTGACGGCGCATGTCTCGCCCGTGGTCCCTGTGGGTGCGAGGGAGTGCGTGGTCAGCTGGTGGTGCGGTGCGGGTGACAGGGGAGGGGCGAGGGCGTACAGTTGAGTGCCTGGTTGAGCGACGCGATGGGGGGGAGCGGGCGCGGGGGCGAGGGGTCAGCGGGGGCGCACGAGGCAAGAGGAGGGAGACGGACCTTGTAGACGGAGCCGAATGCGCCCTGGCCGAGTTCTGTGTGCGATGTCTGCCTGTGTGTGTGTGTGTGTGTGAGTGTGTGTGTGTGGGGAGGGACGAGAGGGAGGGGGGAGCGCACACAGTTGGGGAGCGAGGGTGGTGGTGGAGGGCGGTCTGGTGAGAGAGCCATGGGAAGAACAAGGCAGCCGGTGGCTGCAGAGGGTGAGCCTCAGAGGCGAGAGCGGGTGCATGCTCGTCTCGTCGTCGTTGGTGAGCTCGAGCGGGCGAGCGACGGCCGGCCTCGTCTTGACCTCGCCTCACTGCCTCGCTCCTGCCAGAGACTCTTGAGACCAGCTCGAGCCATGGCTGCTGCTGCACCACCCACCCCGGCACCCCGCCCGCCTCGCCAGCGCCTCAACAAGCTCGAGCGCACCCAGCTCCGCCGCGACCTCGCTCACCACGACAAGGACGCAGACCACCGCCAGGACGACGACGACCAAGCCACCACCGCACCACTCGACTGGCTACCCCTCGCCGACACGCGCACCCACCAGTGCCCCGTCGTCTTCACCCCCGATGGCTCGTGAGCACCAGCACCGCCTTCTTCCCTCCCTACTCTCTCTGGGCACCCACACTGACCCTCGTTGCACACAGCTACGCCTTCATCGCCTCGGGCGCCGCCGTCAAGGTCTACTCGGTCGCGTCGACCCAGCTCATGTCGACCCTCTCGATCCGCCCCTACTCGTCCTCGACCGCGACCACCACCAACGAGCCCGCAGCCCTGCGCCGCGCCACCGTCTCGGCCGTCCTCCTGTCGCCCTCCAACCCGCGCCAGCTCGTCGTCGCCGCCACCGACGGCAAGGTCCGCCTGTGGGACTACCTCGACGGCGCCCTCTTGCGCACCCTCGACCTCGGCGCCCCGATCCTCCACGCCACGGCCAACCACAACCTCGCCGACCACCTCTTCGTCGCCCTCGGCACCAACTCGAACCTCGACGCCGAGGCGAGCGTCTACCTCGTGTCGCTCCGCGCCGCAAAGCACCTCGTCGACGGCGTCGTGACCGCCGCCGACCCCTCGACCCCGGTCCAGCCCGCGCGCCGCGTCCGCCTCGCGACCCCGCGCATCGTGCGCGCTCTCGCCCTCTCGCACGACGGCGCCGTCCTCGCAAGCGTCAACCCCAACGCCGTCCACCTCGCGCGCACCCACGACATCCAGCGCGGCTTCACCCAGTCGGTGCCCGCCGCCGACGACGAGGTCCTCACCACCGTCGCCTTCCACCCGACCGACAACTACTTTGCGACCGGCAACGAGCGCGGCCAGATCCGCCTGTGGTACAACGTCCTCGGCGCCCCCTCGTCGTCGTCCGAGGCCGGCGACAGCGCGCTCGCCGCACCCGCACCGACGACGAGCGTCCTCCACTGGCACGCCCACGCCGTGTCGTCGCTCGCCTTTACGCCCAACGGCGCCTACCTCCTGTCGGGCGGCCAAGAGGCCGTCCTCGTCCTGTGGCAGCTCCACACGGGCCACCAGGAGTACGTGCCCCGCCTCGGCGCCCCCATCTCGAGCCTCACCGTCCTCGACGGCACGCGCGACAACCCCGAGCAGCAGGTCGCCGCCAGGTTGAGCGACGGCAGCGTCGCCTTTGTCGGCAGCCAGCGCCTCAGGGTCGGCAAGGTCATCTCGGGCCTCAAGGCCGGTGCGTCCTCCTTCTCCTTTCTCTCTCTCTCCCGTGGACCTCCTCCTGACTCGAGACCCTCTCACACAGACGCCTCGTCCCGCCCGACGTTCGCCCCTGCCCCGTCGACCCTCCCGACCCCGCTCGCGCTCGACCCGTCCACCTCGGCCCTCGTCCTCCCCGCCGCGCACCCGTCGTCGCTCCAGTTCTACTCGCCCCTCGACGACGCCTCGATCCTCGAGCTCGAGGTGGCGCCCTCGAACCGCGTCACGAGCGCTCAGCGCGACCGCCCGCTCGAGCCCACTCGCGTCGAGCGCGTCGCCTTTTCGACGCCCGAACCTCGCGGCGCCGGCGCCTACTGGATGGCGACGGTCGACTCGTGGGCCAAGGACGGCTTTACGCCCGTGCGCCAGCTCAAGCTGTGGCGCAAGCAGGTCGGCGCTGCCGCCGCCGCCGAGCAGCAGCACTCGTTCGCCCTGTCGACCCGCATCGACCGCCCGCACGACGGGCCCATCACGTCGCTCGCGTTCTCGCCCTCGACCGCGTCGCCGCTCCTCCTCACGACCTCGACCGACGGCTCGATCAAGGTCTGGGCCCCGACCACCTCGTCGTCGTCATCGTCGTCGGCCTCGAGCGGCGGTGCCTGGGCCTGCCGCGCCGCGCTGTCGCACCGCGGGTCGGCGCCCGTCGCCGCCGCGTGGAGCGCCGACGGCAGCATGTTTGCCGTCGCGCACGTGCGCGGCTCGGTCACGCTGTGGAGCCTCGCCCAGGGCGGCGTCCTCATGCACTCGTTTGCGGCGACGAGCGTCGGCCGGCCCCGCCACGTCGCGTTTGTCGACGCCGAGGGCGAGCGCAGCGGCGGCGACGGCGCGACGGCGCTCGTCGTGGGGGGCAGTCTCGGGTCGATCGCGTGGGACTTGCTCACGCTCGACGAGGTGCACACGACCAGAATCGACTTTGCGACGCTCGCCGTCCAGCCTGGGTCGGGCCTGCTCCTCGGCACCGAGGACGCTGCGCCCACCGCGTCGACCTCGGCCTCGGCGTCGTCGGCATCGGCGTCGTCGTCGAACGCAGGCGCCAAGAAGGCGGTCAAGGCGACCAAGACGGGCCCGAGCGCGACCTCGACCGACGGTGCCGCCCCGGCGCTCCTGTACTCGCTCCCCGTCGCGTCGACCTCGCGCGAGGCCGCCCTCGCGCACCTCGACGCGCGCCCGCTCCCCTGTGCCCCGCGCCAGCTCCTCCCTCTCCCCTCCTCGGCCTCGGCCTCGGCCTCATCCTCGTCCGCCGCCACGACCTCGTCGCGCCGCACCGACGCGCACCCGGTCTCGCTCGCCGCAGTCGACCCGACCGGCGCCGTTTCGCTCCTCGGCGCCGCGGCCGCCCTCGGCGGGTCGGTCGCGCCCTCGGCGCTCCCGCAGGCCGCCGGCACGGGCGCCAAGGAGGGTCTCTTTGACGAGATCTTTGGCTCGGCCTCGGCGGCGGCGGCGGCGACGAGCGCGGGCGCGAGCAGGGCCAAGGGCAAGGGCCGGGCGCTCCTGGGCGACGGTTCGGCGGCGGCGGCGGGCGCGAGGATCGACGTCGGCGCGCTCGGCAAGGGCGCCGCCGTCCTCCTCGAGACGCCGGCGCACGTGCTCCCGCCTGTGCGCATGCTCTGGCGCGAGCTGCTGCGGGTCGAGCAGCGCCCGGCGGCGGTCGAGCTCGAGCTCGAGGGCGGCGACAATGGCTCGCGGGCGGCGACGGCGGCAGCAGCGACGGGCGCAGCGACGTCGCCGCCGCAGCAGCAGAAGAGCGAGGTGCTCTCGGCGACGACGACGGCGCCCGTCTTCAGCTCGCTCGGGCAGGAGACGATGCGCGGGATCTTCAGCAGGCGGTTGGCCGGAGGTGTGGCCGGGTCGGCGTAGAGCTCGATGGCAAGCCTTAGCGACTCGTTCGTAGCTCGTACGGCATGTTGAGAGAGTGCTCGAGACGTAGCTAGCGAGAGCGAGAGCTGAGAGGGTCCGAGCGGACCTTCTCAAGTGGATGGCTGCCGAGGGGAACTCTGTCCTCCTGCTCCTGCTTTGCCCCGGGTGCTCAGCAGACCTGTCGAGCAGCACTCTGAACTCGACTCGAGCCGCTCAGGCGAGAGAACGGAGCCGGGAAAAGAAGGAGCGAGTCCACCTGCACCTCGAGCCAAACAGTCCGACTCACCCCCTCCTCCCTCGTCCTCTGGCGACGCGACCGGCTCGGCCCAAGGGCACGAGAGCAAAAAAATGACAAAAGAGAAGGGAGTGCGTAAGCAGCTGCGACGCGTCCGCCCGGGTCCAGAGGGTCAAACCCCGGCGTCCGCTCGAACACAAGGTTCGAGGGTCAAGCTCGGAGCGTCCGCTCGGACCCCGAGGGTCAAGCTATCGCGCTTTGATATCACTATTACTCTTTCCAGCCCGGTATGCATGCCTCAACGTCTCGAGGTAATCCCGCAGCTTGATATTAGGAGAGAGCTAATGACCCTGGGTGGTTCGACAAAGGAAAGTACTACTTTGCAAACGCACGCCACACGCATTCGGTTTACCTCCCGACGGTTCTCCTTCTCGCACCTCGACTCGCTTGGACTTGGGAAGGTCGCCATCGTCTCGAGCATTTTCTGTTGCACATCTGGGTACCCTACATGACCCCCCTTGCGCGAGATGGCGAGCGAGGAGCGAGGAAAAACGTCGGACGAGGAGGGCGCGCGCGCCGGCTCGGCTCACCACTTCCCCACATTCTCGCTGCTCTGCCCTCTCGTCCTGCTGCCACAGCGCTCGGCTTGGACTGTGAGGCAGCTGTGGGACAGTTTTGGCCCAGCAGAGAGGCCTCGCGAGGCCTCGCGAGCACAGAGCGAGCGAACAGAGGGCCGAATCGAGCTCGAGAGGACGAGACGCGAGCTGCTTCGTCGAGCTGTGCTCCCAAGTCTGCTCCTGCACGTCCGAGACTCGCTCAAGGGCTCGGCAAAGTGTAGCTCGAGAGGTCCGGCGACCGTGCGCTGCCCTTTGCGAGCGGTCCGAGCGTCGAGTCGAAGGTCAAAGCGCCGCAGCTCGACATCGCGTCTCACGCTCCCTCGCGTTGCTCGGACTCAGTCGTGCTAGGTCGCAGTCCGGCTGTTCGACTCGAGCGGTCGCGAAGCAGACAAAGCGAGCGAGCCCCTGAGCGAAGGCAGGCGCCTGGTACGGAGGTGCGGACCCGACATTTTCTGCTGGAGGACCGCTCGCGAGGCTCGACGTACTTCGTAAGGCACGTCTGCTTCGGTTCCCGAGCGTGCGCAACCTCCCGCTAGCGCCAAAAGCAAGTAGATGGAACCAGCAAAAATGCATTGGCCGGGAATCGAACCCGGGGCTAGGCAATTCAGCAGAAGCTGGCAATGCCCAATTTTGCCACTAAACCACCAATGCTTCGGTTGTCTCAGCGGGCCGGCATTAGCAGACAGATAGTGCCGTCACCCTGAACTCCTCAATAGCCTCGCTTCGACGGCGTTCTGCCTCTGGCGAGGCTTGACAAGCCTCGCGACCCTCGTGCAGGTTAGTCCGAGCTACTTCTCGCGCTGCGCGCGCCGGAAAGCCAGCACGGCGCACGGTCCGCTGCCGATCCGGCCGCCGGCCGCTCTCGCTCGAGCGACGCTCTATGCCGCACAGCTCAAGTCGCGGCGTTCGCTGAGCGCAAGCCTGTCGAAGAGCGGCGGCGACAGGAAGAGCGCCTCGCTTTCAGCAGCTCTCTCTCTGTGCCTCGCCTCGAGAGCGCTCTCCCTCGTCCGCTTGCTCTCTCGTCGCGCCACGCGGTGCGCCACTGGCGACCGGGAAGAGCTAAAAGAGACAGTGATACAACACACACAGGACCGAGAGCGACCCTCCCGTCGCGCCGCCCGTGCGAGCGCAGCCGACCGCCGAGAACGAGGGCGGAGGAGAGGGGGAGGAGTGGACGGACAGGGAAGGGCTGGGTCGTCTAGGGGGCGATGGTGGCGCCGGGGAAGCAGTCGGCAGGAGTGACCTTGGGGTGCTTGCCTGCGTGGCTGTTGCAGGACGCGAGAGAGGTCAGCTTGCGCGAGAGCTCGAGAGGTGAGAGGGAGGCGGACGCACTCGCGCAGCGACACCGGCATGGACGCAATGATCGGGGCCTTGCACACCGTGCACTGGATCGTGGGCTTGGCGGCCTTCTTGGGCACGCCGGCGGCGGTCGTCTCGACCTGCGAGGAGGAGACGAAGGTGAGCGGGGGAGGGTCGAAGGCTTGGGCTCAGGGGCAGGCGTGGACGCACCTTGATGCCCTTGGCGGCCTTCTCCTTCTGCTCACGAGTGCGTGCGTCCTTCTTCGAGAGGCCCATGGTCGATAGCGGTGGTGGGAGTCGAGGAGAGAGATGAGGTTGGCCGAGCGCGAGCTCAAGTGAATTCGGCGCACGTGCAGGGCAACGCGCTCACGCTGCAGCGGGTTCCGCGGTCTCCAGCGCGCTCGTATTGAGCTCGTAAGACTATCGAGAGCGGACCAGCAAAAGCAAGCGGGCAAGCAGCCGCGGCCTCTCCTCGTCGGCGCCGCACCTGACGCTGCACCTCCTGCTCGCGCTCTGGTTCTTTCTTTCTGGCCGACAAGACGACGAGCGCGACGGCCTGGACTCTCGAGCATCGCGGAGAGACGACGAGGTGGTGGCAATAAGCTCGTTGAGGCTCGTAGGAAAGGACACTACAACACGCTGTTGAACGGCGCACAGACCCTCCTGCAGGCGGCGACAACGCTCGATGAGTCAGTCGGGGTCCCATCGACGAGGACGAGAGAGAGAGAGAGAGAGAGAGAGAGAGAGAGGAAGAGGGACGCACAGCTTCTCCCTCGAGAACGACCCCGTCTAGACCTCCTCGGCTTCTACCGCCGCCGGCCGATGGATCGCGTCGACGACCGCGAGCGCGTCCTTGACCTCGCGCGTGTCGTGCACTCTGACGACCTCGCACACGCCGCTCGCGACGCACGTGCCCGTCGCGACGAGCGTCTCGGCGAGGCGGTCCTTGGCGTCGCCCTTGTGCGGCGCGAGGAACCGCTTGCGGCTCAGGCCGACGAGGACCGGGTACTCGCGCAGGGGCGAGTCGGCGCCGTCACCGTCGCCGCCAAAGAGGCGTGGCAGGGCGCGCAGGAGCGCATAGTTGTGCTGCGCCGTCTTGGCGAACCCGATGCCCGGGTCGAGGACGACGTTCCACCGCCGGACGCCCTTGCTCAGGGCGCGCTCGACCATCTGCTCCATCTCGGCGCGCACGCCGGCGACGACGCCGCCGGGCCCAGGGTACTGCGCGAGGCCGGCCATGGTCGACGGGTCGCCGCGCGAGTGCATGAGGACGACGGGGCACGCGCGCTCGGCGAGCAGCTCGAGCATGCCCTCGCCGCGCCCGCCGTACACGTCGTTGACGACGTCGGCGCCGGCGTCGAGCGCCTGGCGCGCCACCTCGGCGCGGAACGTGTCGACCGAGAGCGGGACCGAGACGTCGCGCTCGCGCAGGGCGGCGATGACGGGCACGACGCGCGCCGCCTCGTCGGCGGCAGGGACGTCGGGCGCGTTCGGGCGCGTCGACATGCCGCCGAGGTCGAGGATGTCGGCGCCGGCGGCGAGGTGGGCGTCGCACGCTGCGAGCGCGAGCGGGACCGTCGCCGCGTCGCCGCCGTCCGAGAACGAGTCGGGCGTCGTGTTGACGATCGACATGACAAGCGTGCGGGTCGAGGCGATCGTCGACAGGGCAGTCGGGCGCGAGTAGGGGTGCACGACGGAGCGCGAGAGGGGAAAGACGCGGTGGACGGTCGACCGGGTCGACGAGAGGAGGGTGCGCAGGAGCGCGAGCGGCGTCTCGCGCAGGGTGGGGAGGACGAGGTCGGGAGCGAGGCTGCGATACAAAGATTCTGAGAGTCAGCCCGTGAAAGAGAAGGAAGACTGAGGAGCAAAGGGAGCGAGAGGGACGCACTCGACGAGCGGGCGCAGGACAAACTCTCGCTCCTGGATCCCCTGGTGCGGCACCTTCAGCCACCTGTCCTCGCCCGCCCTCTCCTTCTCTCGCTCGCCCGCTGCCGACGACGCCGCCGCCTCGGCCGAGCGCGTGTCGAGCACGACGTCGTCGTACAGGAGCACGTCGAGGTCGATGACGCGGGGCCCGTTGCGGAACGTCGTAAAGTCGCGCCCGAGGGCCTCCTCGACCGACTTGCACACGGTGAGGAGCGCCGTCGGCGAGAGCGAGGTCGAGATCTGGGGGGCGAAATGAGAAGGAGGGTCAGGCCGCGACTTGAGGGAAACCGAGGGAGGCAAAAAGAGAGAGTAAGGCGAGGGCGTACCTTGACGGCCGCGTTCAGGAACTTTGCCTGCTCCTCGTGGTACATGGCCTCGCTCTCGTACAGGAAGCTCGTGTCGACGACCTTGACGTGGCCGTCGGCGAGCTGCTCAAGGCGGCTCACGGCGTCGTTCAAGTTGCCCGCGCGCTCGCCGAGGTTGGTGCCGAGGCCGAGGTACGCGACGTGCGCGTGCGCGGGCGAGAACGACGCCGAGGTCGAGAGGGCGCGCACGCCGGGCACGAGCGCGAGCGCGGCAAAGTCGGCGCGCGTGCGCGTCACCTGGACCGACGGGTGGCGGGCAAACATGAGGGCCGACGGCTTGGACACGCGGACGGTCGTGCGCGAGATGTCCCAGCCGGGCGTCGGCGGCGTGGTGGACGACAGCGGGACGGCGGGAGGGGTGAGGAGGAGGGACGAGATCGAGGTGACGACGTGCTCGATCGTGAGCGGGCCCGACGACGAGAGGTGCTGTGTGTGCCGAGGGAGCGCGCGCTTATCAGTGCCTGTCGCGGCGAGAAGTGGGCCGCGAAAGAGCCGAGAGGAGGACTGGCTCGGGCGCACCTGCTCGACCTGCTTGACGGCCTTGCGCCAGTGGGCCCACCCAGCTCGGGCGCCGTTGGGCAAGCGGGTCATGGACATCGTGTCGGGGCCGAACTCGAGGTCGACGATGACTTCTTGCTCGTCTAGGCGCTCACACGGGTTGAGGCCAATGATGATCTGGCGGCGGAGGGCGCGGACGAAGAGGGTGTCGTCGGCGAGGGAGGGTGCGTCGGGGCGGAGGGTGTAGGTCGGTGTCGGTGAGGGCGAGGTCGCAATCGAGGAGGAGGACGAAGGAGGAGAGGGCGAGGCGGTGTAGTCGGAGCGGGAGCGCGACAGGACGACGCCGACGGCCTCGGCGGTGAGGAGGGCGCGAGGTCGGCGGAGCTCGAGGCGGACGTTTGGTGCGCTGGCGTGGAAGAGGACGACGTAGCACAGCTGCTCTGCGAGTTGTTCGAGCGGGAGCTCGTGGTCGTCGTCGGTGGACGAAGGCGGAGCGAGTTGGGCGATGTGGCGCTCGATGTGTTTTGTGACGGTGCCGTAGTTGAGCGAGTCGGTGAGGAGGTTGTCCTCGTTGGCCTCTGAGCGGACCGAGGTGCGGATGTCGAGCGAGCAGACGAGGGGTTGAGGCTTGCGCGGGCGGAGCCACAAGTCGACGCCGAGCGACGCGGTGCGCAGCTCGAGGTCGGTGACGCGGATCACGTCCAAGGGCATGCGCAGGGCGGGAGTGCGGGCCCGTCGTCGTGGTTGGAGGACGAGGAGGAGAGCGAGCACCGCCTCGTCGTCCCTCTTCCTCTCTCTCTCTCTTCACTCGCTCTCGCTCTGATGGCTGCTGCTCCAGTCACACTCTACGTCTACGACCTATCCAACGGCCTTGCTCAGCTCTATGGCACCGCCCTCACCGGTGCGCCCCCCCCCTCCCCTCTCGCTCTCCTCCCCACCTCGTTCGCTCACGCCGCGCAAGCGCTCCCCCTCCTCGCCCCCCCATCCACAGGCCGACCAGTCGAGGGCATCTGGCACACCGCAATCGTCGTCCACGGCATCGAGATATTCTACGGCCAGGGCATCTCGATCGTCTCGCCTCCAGGAACCACTCACGTCCGTCCACCTCCTTTCCACCCTCTTCCACCACAGCAAGCTGACTCTTTGACCTGCACACAGCATGGCCAGCCCAAGAAGCGCATCCCATGTGGCGAGACCCACCTCGACAAGGCCACCGTGCTCGAGTACATCGACGCCGTGCGCGACTCGTGGACGGCAGAAGCCTACCACCTGCTCGAGTACAACTGCAACTCGTTCACCGACACCCTCCTCGGCTTCCTCAACGGCAACTCGATCCCGGGCGACATCCGCAACCAGCCCTCGGGTCCGTCTCCCTCCTCCCCTCGCCCTCTCCCTCTCGCACCGACCGACGCGCTGACGACGTGGCCCACAGACATCATGTCGACGCCGTTTGGCCAGCAGATGCGGCCCATGATCGAGTCGATGTTTGTCGGCCGCAGAAACCCGTCGGCAGGAGCCGCCGTCAACAACCTCGTCCCGCAACTCGGCGGCTTCACGACGCCGCCAACCTCGTCCACCCCACCGTCTCGAGACGACGTGCCCTCTCTCGCATCTGCCACCTCGAACCTCGAGCTGTGCACCTCGTCGGCCTCGCTCCGCACCACGCTCGCCTCGTCACCCGCCGTCGCCATCATGTTCACCTCGCCGACTTGCCCGCCGTGCGCCGCCATCAAGCCCCACTTTGAGCAGCGCGCCAAGGAGCACGCGTCGCCGGCAAGCCGCCGCATCGTCTTTGTCGTCGTCGAGACGCACGCCGGGCACGGCGCCGAGGTCGCGCGCTCGCCCGAGTTTGGCGGGCCCGTGACGGCGACGCCCTCGTTCGTCTTCTTTGCGCGCGGCGCCAAGGTCGGCGAGTGCAAGGGCGCCGACCGACGAGAGCTCGACACCCAGGTCGGCATGCTCGCGCTCGCCGCGTTCCCGCCGCACCCGCACGACAAGGTCGCCGTGCCGGCGCTCAACAAGCTCGCGCGGCAGCTCGC